TCCTCTACTCCGATCCTGGTATTCATCGCCTGCACGCTGCGCACAGACTGAGCTCAATGAGCCTCCAGCGCTCATTGAGGTACGAGGGTAGCGAGCAGCATCCACATGAGGCCAGACCGGCTGTATGGAGCGAGCACCATCCGCATTTCATGTGGCTAGGTAAGCAGTTTATATGTCAATAATAGCGTCATGGCGGCATAGGCCACGCGAAAACAGTTCATTCTTTGCATTACGGCGCATAGATTTCCGTATATATGTTTGTATATACTCTGTATCGAGTTTATGGTACAATGGATAGGTAGAAGAAAAGTTGCTACGCGTATTAGTTTTTTATTCAAGGGAGTCAGTGAGGAAGGTGACGAGGGTAACGTAAACGTGGAAGTAGAACTGGCTACTGGTTGGAGGATATGGCGGTGGTCGACGGTAAGACTCGTTTTCCTCAGAGTCTCGTCTACTCCCACAAACCCATATATCCGCACACCGACGTACTTATATGGTGCAATAAAGGGCACGTAAGACAGAATTGTTTAGTTATTTCTGCATCACCGCTAGTCTTCTGGTTTGCTGTTGCCCATGACACACCGGTTGTCGTTCGTAGTCCGTCGATATATAGCAGCCTACTGGTTTAAGCAAGTGTACTTTCCCTAGATGCCTATGTAAAACGGACCTGCTCGCTCCGACATGTCATCATTTTTGTCACGTAAATAGAACCGCTCATCTTTGTCATTTCTCCTTTTCGTTTTCCGCGGCTTATCTAGCTAAGAGTGGCAGCCAATGTTCCTACTCAGCGCCTAACGGACAACACCTAAGCTAGCGAAAATATGCCGTTGCTAGAAAAAAAAACGATTGTTTACAACAACTAATAGATCGTATGACACGCTCATCATTGTTATACAAAGACTAACTCATAGATAGACAAAAACATGCGGTCAAGGCAACGATTGTACCATCCGTTGTTTTTTTTCGGCCTTCCTCCCATAGGATCGGTCGTCTTTCCATAGGTGTCGGCACGACAGTTTACTGGGTAGCCAGTCGCATATTGGTCCTGCTCTCATTTTGCCTGTTTTTCAAGAAGGCAGGCCGGGGACTTATCTAGCACTAGTCTGTCTATGATAGTCATGTTCGTTAAATCAATAATCGCAATATGACGCTGACTATGCTAGTTAAACTAAGCGTAACGCACTACGACCTGTGGGGCCGCTGTTGATTGGTGACAAAAGCTGGTGATAGGCAGTGTACTACTGTAGGTATCCTGAGTGTGTAGTTAGCTCTGCTCGTATGTGTACTTCACCAATTTATCTATGAACGTGTAACCCTAAACGAATTTATGTGCTTGCCATTGGTCTATCGATCCTTGTGCAGGCTCTTCGCAATAAAACAGTACAAAAGTTCAAGCTCATGTGCCGCACGTAGAATACAATACAATCAAAATTATCACTAGGATCATTACCCTTGGCAATAGAGAAAGAAGCGGTATATTAGCTGGATATATAATAACATATAATAACAACTCCGGTACTACTAATAATAATGGAGCCGAAGTAAACGCTGGCTGTTATCCTCTACTTACGTTGTATATGTATGTATACATATATATAGTGAAAAATATATCTATGCAGACGAGCCACATCTGCGAGCATGTTCCCTGTAATTTTGAACGCCGGTATGTCCTTAATGCTTGCACACTGTTATCTTAAGCGGACAGAATCAAGGTTCCCTTATTGATTTTTTTTCATCAACTCCAAACCTTTGAAGTACGAAAAAATACCGAAGAACAACAATGACAAAGACCGGCAAAGGAGCAAAAAAGTACGCTAAGCAAAATATGAACATAACCGCTTTTCTCCAGTTCGGCATAACAACATCGGATACATGGAATTGTCTGTATGTACTTGCATAACTTTATCATGTTCAGAGGAAGTCTGTCCACCACCTGTTGGATTGGCGCTTTGATCGTGTTTTAGTTTACCGGCTAGAAGTCGTAAAGTTTCTATGCAGTCACCTATTGGACAAAACCCATGCTTGAGGAACTCGCTGGAGGAACAATGACGCTGTAGCTGGATAATTTGCGAACATTCGTGGAGCTGTTATAACTGCCTCAACTATAATTCCGGTCTCACTCACTTTATGCATCTTATAGGATGTCGTACATTTACTCAGAACTACAATGGCGCCTACAAACAAAGATACATATCTGCACGTCGAAGAACATGCGGACACGCAAATAAAGGAACTTTGAGCGAGGCGCTATTGCCACGGCCTATTATCGGTTTGCAAAAACGATTTAGATTGCTAGTGCTACTACAGGAATGCCGAGCAAACCTCCGCCAGTGGCGTCAACGATGCCAAGAAGGGCGGTGTTGTGCGTCTCTATCCTTTTCGGTCAGAGTTCGCTTTTATGAGGCACGGCTAATATGCTAGCAGTAGTAAACGAAGCGATTATTGCCTGTGAGGACAGGTACAGACAGATTTGAATTAGATTTGTGGAGTACGTTGCTTTGCTTTCTCAGACCGTGCAATAATAGAGGTCTTTTTCCAGGACCGCCTGACACCGCACTCGTACCGATTTGAAAGAACACATTTGGCATCCGATTCGACGTTGCGTCTCGAGACCGAAATTACTCGCTCATGAATTTTCGATTTCTGCTAAAAGAGCCGGCCTACTTATTCGCTAGGTAGCTAGGAGCTAGCGTTAGCGTGGATAGATGGTGTCTAATTTATGGTGGTCGTGATAGAGGGCTGGGATTACCCGCACGATCTGAAAAGCGATCTCGGCTGGGCCATGCGAGATGAAATGGGATCTGATACCTTTGCTAACATCATTCCTGCGGTCCTGCTGTTGTCACCCAGAGCGAGTGAATGTAAAACTTTTCTTTATCTTTCCCTGGTTCGGTAACATTCAGGCGGTGATGATGAGACGTGGCACTGGTCCACGTGTCTGCACGTACAACTAAGCCGCCTCTTGTAACGTGTATTGCAACAATGTACATATGTTTGAATCGGATGCTGCCGAATGCGTTCGTAAGTGGTATTGGACACCAGAAATTATCAGAGCATGCCTCTAATAGCAGCAGTATTAAATTTTTGGAGAAATCCTTCTTTAAAATGCACGATTTTTTATCGTAAGGCAAGGCATGATTTTAGGTACATCCGCATGAATTGGACATAAATATATTTTTATGCTCTACGCGAACAATGCCTCACAGCAGAACCGAATCTCATACTCAAAACCTTCAAGCAGACTGAATAATTCGAATAGGCTACAGACGAGGATTTGTGCTGGTTTACAACTGGACAAATACAACTAAGGACTTTGGCGTACGGTTGTCTCTGACATTTTTATTAGTTTATCGATAAAGAACGAATTCGTTTGGTCTTATCGTAGCGGAAAACTGTTACACGGATGTCCCTGCCGTTGCCATCATCATCAGCTACGACATCTCACACGGAACCTCAACTCGACTTCACGTTCAACACCGAGGCGTCAGCCGGCTGCTGCCGCTCTCAAAGCGGCTGACCCTCACGGCATCTTCAATGCTAAGGTTTATCCTTGTCTCTGGTCTCTGCCTGAAAGGCAAAATGAGCAGACAAAAGGCAGATTCCATAGAAGATAATCACAGCGGCCAAGCATTTCCTCAGTTTTTCTTTGGAATCTTGGAAGACCCATGCGGATAGATCAATGGTCTCTCACATATTTTCCCTCAGTCACCGCTTGTGTTACGTGTTTGCGCGTTTCCAATGACCAGCCAGCGAACTCGAGGTACCGAAGCAAGCAGGCCACTAGACTTCACGCCGTGCCGCCCGCGAGTCAGCCAGCTTCGAGTACTGCGCGCTCCACAGTCCACCGTAACACGTTGCACATTGCCGTTAACATGGCGCCTGTCTCCGCCAAACAGGCTTGCTCAATCTGCTGCTTTTGTATGTAGCCTACTGTCTCACGTGACTGCTCGACATCTTCCCTTTCGACACTTACGTACACAGACACTCAGATACACACATGCACAGATACTCGCTTCTGTCACACAGACGTATGACAGACACGGAGATGGCCAGCCAGCTAGAAATAAGCAGAGCTGCACCACATTTGTTCTGTTCTACATAGACACAACATAGTTACGATGCTGTGCTGCACAAATACCGTTCCACATTCCCGAATCATCGTGTGACTCAGCGAACCTGTCTTGGCCCAGGAGAACACGAATCTTCAATACCCCTTGACACACTATCGGACTTTTCTTTTCCATGACTGTCTAATAAACAGGAAGGGATCTTGGCGGTGCAAAAGACAATATACTAGATATATCTACTATTATATTTACTTGCTTGCCTCTGGCTGGCCACGACCACAACGTCCAACGGAACGTCGAATAACCTAGCGGAAAGGGACCAGACAGGCAGCAGTAGCAGTAAGGCCAAGCGAAAGACGAACCTAGTGAAGCCTCGCACAGATCGAGTAAAGGTTAGAGCTACAGCCACTACTTCGCCAGGTCCCTCGGCCTCCGCTGGCTTCGGCTGGCAGGCGGAAAGGTCGCATGCCCCCAAGGTCATCGGGGACCAACTCCCATTCCTGCCTCGAACTCGATCCGCTGTCAACGGTATTGATAACATTGATCTTTGGGACTAATTCTATCCAGCGCCAATACGGCTCGCTGCGGGTTGCCGCTTGTTGCTGATGGCAGCAAAAATTGCTTAACGGCAGGCATCGCAAGCACAAAGTTGAGACAGTCAAGCGCTGAAGATGCTGGTTCGTCAGCATCCATTCAAGCCTCAAACGAGTCGGTCGACCTATTCGATGACGATAAGGGTTTTGTCAGCCAGACAGAAAGGCATACTACTTTTCGTAATACAACCTAGTAGTACTAGTATAGACAATAGCTGCAGGTCTAAAGCCGCAGGCCGAAATTAAGGGTTGTCTGTATTATCACTCTCACGCAAGGTTGTGCTATGCTGAGCTACTCTAGATTGCATAGATCTAACCCATTATACAAATCCATACTTACCTGTAACGTTGACGAGGAACAGCAGGGTGACAAGGGGAAGCAGCTGGACGAGAAGCCTATGGCTTGCCGTTGTCAATGTAACCGAAGGGAGGGAAACCACCGTTTCGATAGATCGTTGACGCCAAGGGTACTTCCGCTGTTGGCGGGGGCATATCCCCGTTAGAACTGCCACTCGATTGCTACTGTTTACGCTGGTGTTCATGTTATTATGTTATACTGCTATTGTGGCTACGCTGGACGACTGACTACCTGAGTGGTTGATTATGCGCTGATCGTCCTTACAGGTCCTGTGCTTCCCCTTGTCGGAGACGCCCCGATGGTGATGGATAAATCAAAATTGTAAGATTTAGTTTGATGTTACCGTTATTATCATTGTTATTGTTGCTAAGGATGACGGCGGCGACAGTAACAACTACGGCCTTCAAAAGTTGATGTTGTTTTCGATCGCTTTGGTGCGTTGGTATCGTCGTTACCAGTACCGAACCGAAGCGAGCTGGTACCAAAAAGAAGCCGTTTATGTCGGTTCTTGGTTTCCGTGGGTTCGTTGACGCTACTTGTCGCTAACAAGCAAGTTGTCGTGCGTGGAGTGTCAGGCACGCGGGCGGTCCGCCATACTCGCGCTAGACGGGTCACTGGCAGCCGGGGCGGCAGTGGAGACGTGGCACTCCCTGGACCAAACCCGCGGCAACGGACCTCAGTCCGCACCGCATCGAGAGGCAGAATAAGGGTTTCTTATATCGTTTCTTTAGCCCCTGTATCGAGAAACGACTAACTACGTCTGCTAAGTTAGATCTTCCTTCCGATCGTCTCTTAGCAGAATTGTGGGGCACGTCCTTCCAACTACAGTAAACGAGATGGAACAACTGTTTCGTCGCCCGTCGCTTCGAAGGCCTGAGAAACCCCTGCAAGCCTTAGCTTACACTTGGCAGGAAATTCCTGTGATAGAAAATAAAATGCTCGTTCTTCTAGCGTCGATTCGGATTGTACCGCTCCGGATTGCTGGCTTTTGTTGCGCTTCCTTCTCACTCCTGCCGTTTTAAATCCCACAGTAGCTTACATGGTTCCGCCGACTGTTTTCCACTCCACGCTCCCACGACGACGCACCGCCCCTTCAATTCACCACTGTCGCTACTGTGGCCACTACCACGTTTTCGTTGTAAGATTAACGACTCGTTTGTACGCCGCGCTGCACCCTGTCACGCTACCACGATAATAGTTTCGTCGAAGAATTAAATCAGGTAGTACGTCTGGTTAGTTCAGAATTCGATGGATTGTTGTAAATTAATCCTTGATTTCCTTTTCTATAAATTGCACAACCTCGCTCATACAAACGCACGAACACGTTAAACAGATACGGTGGACATCACGAAGTATCAACTATAAACTATATATATATTTTTTTTTGTGTGGACGACGACGATGACAACGATCTAGCAGCACGTAAGCACCAAGCTGGCAAGCACTGATTGAGAGATACACCTTACGCAGCACAGATTCACAATACCAATAATGGTATTGAATGGAATGCGGGTTGGCTGCGACGCCGTCACTCGATTAGGCCTCTGGCGATACACACGCACCGTAAAAACAAACCGAACACACAATTCTAAACGAAATTCAGAGGGATAATGGCTCCTAACATTCGAGCAGCACTTTTGCACCGCTGCACCGCGACGGTCGCTGAGCGCCCGCCTCGGTGCGTTGACAGGTCGAAACTACGACAATAATGGACAAAACAAAATGATCCAATCTGAAGTGGGGTGGGTGGGTGGGTGTTTGATAGTTATAATGTGCAGCCTGTTTGGCACTAGCCAATCTGAGTGGGAATTTCGATGACTGGGGTGTCGGAGAGCTGATTCGTATAGTCAAACTGACGGTGTGACGAGATAATTCCGTTAAAACAAAGGTAGATTTATACACTGCATGGACTACAATCTACTGATACTTGATGGGTCTCCGTGATGGCGTAGTGGGTAGCATGTTTCAGTACACTTGCTGCTGTGTGGTGGCTGTATCGACTAATGACTGATTCCTAGTGGTACTCTTTTGTGGTAGTGGTAGAATGTAACAGATCTCATAGAGTGGAAACGAAGGATGCACAGCCGCTCCTGTTGTTTGTTGCAAGCCGTCTCCTTTGGCCGGACTTCTCGGTTTTTGCTACACTCACTTTGGGTAGGTATATATTTAAATGTGTTAATATTGTATGATGGTCAGATCCACGGCCACCTTTGTTCTCATCTTTTTCTCGTTGTTGTTTGTCACCAGGACGTTATCGCTGCTGTTGTTGTTGTCGTCGTCATCGTCGTCGTCATTGGTGTTGATGTAGGCACGTCAAACGAATTGTAGATGTTATGTGCTGCTACATCTGCTTCTATTTGAAAGATGGGCGGCAGGAACGAGAGGAAAATGGCGATGGTACAGGTCGACTGCAAAAACGCAAGAAGCTCGCTACAGTCAAGCTCGTCGTGCCTTCTTTGTCTTGCCTGCCTGCCTGCTTGCTCACTCGCTTGCCCTGCGCTGGCGGCTGGGGCTTGAGTAGCAGCAGGGTACCGTGCATATGTAGTAGTATGATATCAGAGTGGTACGGCGGTGGTACAGTTATGCGGCACGCAGCGGAACTCTCTCTTTTCTCTAACCACGGACAGACACACACACGGACAATCAACCGCGAGGCGCGCTGCTGGGCGGCGGCAACTGCTGCTATGGCTGCTGACAATCGGAGAGGGGTAGTTGCGCGGGCCGAGAGCTTCTAGTCAAGACTTACCAGGCGGCGCTGCGATACTATGAACCTAGGGAGTACAGAAGGGAGCCGAGATCCACCGATTGTCTACGATGATACGGCGGATGGGTGCGCGAGAGAGGCCGCTGGTGGCGGGCAGCGGAATGCAGACGGCGCAGGCTACCCTCAGCAGCGGGATAGACAGGCACACACAAACAGGCCCATCAGTCGGTACCAGCGGCAAAGGCAGTACACGACGACCACCAACCAGGGGACCAGGCCGCTAGCCTGACCGAGTTACGGCTGCTAGACGAAGTAGGAGTTGCTCTCAGTTTCACGAGCTTCGGCCTCGCCATCACCGCCACGGTCTCCTAGTGCCTTCACTCTCTCCAAATCTGTCGCAACTCTGGGGGAAGAAACAGATTTGAGAGAAAGGAAAAAGTAAGAATTGCGGGGCTGTTTCTCCCTCGTTTTGGTACTCGCCCGTTCTCTGCCAAACTCCGGCTGTGCCTGCTTCTGTTCCTGTCAAGGGCTGAGTGCTGAAGACCTGTTTCAGGCCTAAGATTTGGCTGTGATCCCCGCGATCTGTTCGAGACTGTTAACGTGTCTGCTCACTAACAAGAGGGTCACTCAAGCGGTCTAGGTTCGAATCTGAGTGTAACTACTCTTTGATTCTTTACTAGAGATCCAAGTGATAGATAAAGCGATGAATATGAGGAAACCCCTCTCCTGCTCGGTCGCTCTAAATTGCTCGTATTTGGCCCCATGTACTGACAGGTTCTTAAAACAAATTGCGATGCTAAGGTCTGTTGTAGAACGGGCACCTCAGAGTCAGCTGTGAAGAAAGTTCCTTTTGGACCTAAGGCTTTATGAAGCAGAGTCGGCGGCAGCAAATGCGCGCGAAGTCAGTTCACGAGCTGCTTTAAAAGGCTAGACACAGGCAGTGGCGATGGTTGCTGCGGGACGGGAGGGAAGAACGGAAACAGTAATCAGGCCGACCTAGAAGCAGATTTCGTTTTCCCACTTTTTTACCATCCAACCAAGGGCTCTAATGACGATGGCCACAATAATCATGATGATACGATGCTAGCAAACAGCAAACATAGCATTTGAACGAACGACAAGGTAAACGAAGACGGTCCGCACCGTTGTCGGTGGCATTTTCTACTGGTGTCTCTCCAGAGCTATCTGCCAGCCCAGGTTCCAGCAGTCTACACCTTAAGCTTGCTTCGCACGCTCTTGTTACTGCAGACTATTATCGTAGGTAGTGGTCTGTGGTTACGGACACGACGCAAGCTAGCCAGACCGCACTGTCGCCGCCTATCGGCCAGGCTCACGAATCATTGACTATGAAGAAGAAGTACGCCAACAAGTAGCAGAACAGACCCAGTCGGGTGGCCGTACACACTCAATTACCTACTATATTCAAACATTATGATCTCGCACTCCAAGCTAATTACGGCGAGGTCCTTTTGTAGTAGAGGTGGTAGTAGTACGGCACGGATGTTACAGAAAAAAAACGATAGCATTCGTTAGTGGGGCATTGTCCAATGTATTTCCCGTTGAATCGTTATTCCTATCCAACATCATAATCCATGCGCGGGCACAAAATACAGGTCAAAGCACATAAATATTATTAACTATGGCAAGCACGGATAAAAATGCACGTACGTTCACTGACACATCATTTCGAAAAAAGGAGAAAGCAGGCTTCTTATAGTTGTAAGTACTGTATTGTACCTCCATATATTCAACAACATAGCAGCAAAGCATCTATCCCGAGGGCGGCACTGGAACACACTGCGTATTATATGGAATTTCTTTCCATTGTTTCGCCTGTAGCTATCTTCACAGCACGTCGAACATGTACGACATTAGAGGAATGTGGTCTGCCATCAAGCATTTTACTTAGTCATGTTTCTTCCACTGCCATTTACCCAATGACAATATAAGCACGTTTAAAGGTCATCATAATATGGGACTATAACATGCAATGCAACAAGTCCAATGCATTTGTAATTCTTTATGTCCGTTTATATGAACCAATCTACTATTCTACGATCGGATAACTCAACTCGCTTCACACGCACGTGCCATTCACACCGCCAGCAAAAATCACCATCAATTGGTGCTGCGCTCTCCTGCACCTCGTTTTTACTGTTATCACCAAACGGGCTCTCGCCGTTGATCGAATTTCGGCTGTTTGGTTTTCACGTGGCCCGCGGTTTACAGTGGCCCGACAGCCGGTTGGTTGGTCAAAACGCGCGGGCTCAGCTTCGTCGCTGTCAAACTTGCCCTTGCCAACAATGAGAAAGGCAACAAAGGGAGATGGGGAGTCGCAGTGGCGAAGGCAAAACTGGCAAGGCCGATGACGGGTGCGGTAACTCATCGTTTGGTCGTTTAACTTGCATGCTAACAAATAGTAAACGTGCCACTGATTGATAGATGAATCAACGGATAGCCAGAATAGAAATGGATCGACTAGCCCATTGATAACATTATTCACTCACCGCATGAATGTCTGTCTCTAGCAACAAGGACATAACTTCCTTCTGCGACCGGTTTAGCCCTCTCGACTAATGTGGCTCAAAACGAAGAGATTACGGAACTCTGGTTTTGTGCCTTCTCAGCCGTGGAATTTATTAAAAAAATATTAGTTTCTATCAAACACACAAATTTTGTAACTGCTATCACGTGAAGAATACTTGATTTTTTCAGTCATTTATTACGTAACACTTAGTAAAGTATTACTCAAATGTGGACAAAAAATATCAGGTTTTCAAACCGTGTAGCAGCCCAACCATCCTCTGTGTGCGAGTACAAATTCATGGACAATTCTATATACATTTAAAAAGATATTATTATATCCTAAAACGAGCATGCGGAAATGGCATATCGCGCAAATTTTACTGCAGAGCTTCATTAGAGATAAATTGGTCACGTTGTTGTTTGCGGAGTCAGAGTCCATGCGTGTATCCTATGAACTATTTTCTCAAATGTTATATGATGCTTTAACAGATTAAGTATATACACAAAAAAAATTCGATATCAAAGATAATTGTATGTAAGAAATATATATATATATATATATATATATATATATAGGAAAAGCCAGAAATGCCTATAAACTAATAATATAGAGCTTATAGGCATTTCTGGCTTTTCCTTTAACATTGATACACGAGTGGCCATACATGCGAATGATGGTGTTCCTGTCTGTATTTCTAATGCTCTAATCTATCTTTCTGAACATTTCCCCTTAAAACGTTAAGACAAATTTCTACCCAAGTATTGTTCGAGTTGTATATCGTCTGTCTGTGCTATTGCGTTTTTCGAAGAGTTTTCGAGACTACATCCGTTAAAATTAATACATCAATAATCTTTACTTATAACATCTAAACAAACTTCTTTGATGAAAATCTAGAATAGATCTTGCTAGAATAACGCTTGTGTTGGTTTGTGTATCAATTTTATTAAAATTTGGAAAATTTTGCAGTGCCGCTGTCGTTCGATATATCTAAATACAGAGCTAAATAGACCCTAATAAAAATTTGTGATAACCTTCTAAACTCAAATTGTTCCTACTATTTATATTTAATTTATCGACACGACGGCTAGTTGACGCTCGGTACATTACGTTAACCATTTCCTGTACGTGTTAGCGTAAGAATTAGTTCCGATGCATTTCGGAAATGAAAGGTTATAATGTTTATACGAGCTTAACATATGTGATTTGTTATTATAAAAGTATATAAATATTATTGTGTAAACGTATGAGCTTGTTTTGAAATTTTAAGCTCGGTGTGTCCAACCGGAGAGACTAATCAACGATGGTATTGCGACGCATGACGCCGCATGCCAGCTTAGACTTATTGCACCTTATCTTGTGCACACACAAATAACCCCGGCAAATGAAAATTTACTGGCCCACATATGATGCGAAGAAATCTATGCATTTCGAAATTAAGTGCCGGTTCTCTCTATACAGCCTTTTGCATACTTTATTAATCAAAGCTTCCGTAATATATAGTAAAGCATTATAATGAAAGTCAAGACAGATCTCCGTCAGGACACTCGTTAAACAGGGTTAATGGGAAGCTTAAACCTACATCTCAGATCATTTACAGATAGCGGTGTGACGCCTAGACGGTACACATATCTATTCAATGATGTACGATGCAGGTCCACGACGCGCTGGAAAATTTTACTTGGTCAAGTTTTTCGAGCTCCCTTCCTGAGAGGTTTCTACGCAACCTAAATTCCGTGGGGCCATGTATGTGTCGAACAAGGCTAACTTCATGCACAAAGGAAATCTTGAGGGCATATATATCTCCACACCCGCGACTGTAAAGCCTTATTTGCTTCTTAGTGGTCCTATTAATGGTGGACCTGTAATTTGCAGCAAAGCGTCTGTATTATTCTGTTACACATGCGGTGTACTTCTTGAAGCCATGTGTCACATATTGTGAGGATGGAACGACCTGTGCGAAATCCATGCTATTCAACCAGAACACATGATGAGCTAGCTTTTAAGAATTTCATCAACCGACGTGTGCTGATATGAAATAGTAGTCTGTCGCAGGAATAGTTTTTCTTTAACGACCGTCTTTTATAAAGATGAGTTGAGCGGGTTGTTTTTACTCCTGGGTATATTGTTCCGAAAAGCGTTATCCCAGCCAAACATTGAATAATAGACTTGTCCAGCAAAAGGACGCGTCAGACGCACTTGTCAAGTGTTCATTGCAGATTAGGTCTAGACTAGCCGTCTTCTTCGACTAAAACTACTGTAAAAAGCGCAATATCTCAAGCACGGAAGTGTATTATCACTACTATTGTTTGCACCTTCGAACTGACCCAACTTTCGAGCTGGATGAATGAATTGAAGGATATGTCTACTACGATTCAGCGGTACCCTCCATTGTTTTGTTCAGATTGGCGCCGGTGCATTAGGATCTTTTCGACCGTCGTATATTTAGTGTGTCCTATTACCCTACGTGATGTTATCATCGATTGTTTCAGCTATCGTTGAATAAACCGGACTGAGTAAATCGACGCCTCTATATTTTAAATCGCGAATTGACTGTCTTCATGCATAGAAGTCACCACAATCAGGTTGAGTCCCGAGAACATAGTAGTGAAGTCATGCCTCAGTACTACGACTTTCTTGCTAGCCTGTAAGTGCATTATTTGTTTAGTTTGAGAAAGCATACATTTATACTGAACAACCAAATATGTACTTGAAAAATCATTGCACAAACCAGGCATTGAACTTTCTACCTTATAGCTGTCACTCTGACGATCTGTCATGTTGTAACTTGGTTGTCGATGCTCTGACAACTCATCTTAAAATACCAAAGCGTCATTTCTACTATGACACTTAACTTCATATGAATTAACGTTTCAGACTTGTATTGTTAACAAAATAAACTAGACGAAAGGTTTAGTTAATGGTCGCATAGAACTTTTGTTCAAAGGTTGACCTTGCTTCAAAGGCAAAAATGCCTTCAGCCTCATGCTGCTTTTGAAGTATAACACAATAGAAAACGCCTATATTGTACGAAAAACAGCAATTGATTCAACGATGGCTGTGCGAAAGTTTTTTAAAAATATTTTACGATCTTACGTAGATCTATTGTTGTTGATAAATTTCTCCGATTGCCACGCCCCCGTACGATGAATAGCTAATTTAATTATACGATTGTAATTTTAATGAAGTGAGGATTTTAGCGATCTTTGTTCATGACTAGCTGTTGGAACAGACTTCTAGCACATGTAAGTTAGCCTGCAATCGTTAATCTTAAAAGTGCTCTATTTACTATTCTTGTTGGCCTCATTTGTGAAGTAATCAACACTTAGCTAATAATCAAATCTTAAGATTTATCTGGATTTGTTAGACTTACTTAAGAGTTTAACTTACTTCAGCTAACTAGCAAACTCGATGGTTTTTTGAGCAGCCATGACATAGTCCGTATAGTCGTGTCAGGCTATTTCAGCCACGTTCTGACTAGGTAGAAACGGGATTGACGGATATAATAGATGGATATATTGCGACTTTAATATAAAAGTGTCGGTATATTTGCGATGCCACGTTCTGGCATCTGGATCTGTACAGGCTATCGTATCACTATCACTACTTCGTAAAGACGTGCTCTTATAAAAGAACTACAGTATTACATTGGAAGTTCACCTGGAATTGCTTATAAGTTTACTTTAGATTTCAACGCTACGATATTGTATACATACATTGAAAATTAACTCTTACTGTTTTTCAATTTTGGTCGAGAAACAAAAGCAGTGGGATACCCGCTAGATTCTGTTTTTTGGCGACGACCTATAGTGTATCATCATCTTTTGCCTTATCATTCGCTCAATCGAACATCTAAATCGGGTAGTATGTATCCATGATATATTTACGATACATGCGCCCACCACATGTCGTAATGAAACAAGCCAGGGACCCTGTTCACAGGCCCGAGCTAGCGCTCTAAGTAGAAGAACTTGGCCTTCCCATTATAGTGATACGTAAGCGTTTGTTCTTACGACATTACTCCTTTCTGTTTTCTACAGTGCAGTATCAATATTACTCCTTGTTGCACCTTTGTTATATTATCCCAATATCGTTTATTTCGCTGATTTTTTAATGCGTTTTAGGGCAATCTAATTGCCATGTAACAACAAGCCAAAAACAACTCGAAAGGTTCCGCGGAAAACTGCCGCTAGTTTTAAGAAATCCGTTACTAGTGCGCACTGCGGTATATGGAGCGTAGTTGCCTAGATTTTAGTTCGACAAAAACTAAATAGTGCATTGATTTGGGTCACAGCAGAAGTAACAGCCAAGACGACTACTGAAAAAACATATTGCTTTTGTTAAGTTACTATAAACAATGGACTCAATTAGGTACAATTTGCAGTCAGTCAAGTTATCCCTCCAAGATTGTGTAATTACTTGTATATAACCAAAAATTAAATTCGCCAGATTGCAACTTTGTGTTTATTGTCTAACTGACGTTTTGTTAAAATTACATGTACTTCGGTGGTGAAGCCGTGTTGCTTTGCGACGATAAACAGCACACGTCGTCGATTATATTATTGTTACAGTAATAAGGATTATACAACGATATAACAGTGTGTATATAAATATATATGAGTATTCGTTTGCCAATGTTTAAGAAATTGTACAGTCCAATTTTTTGGAGCAAATCTTATGCATAGTTTTCAATTGCTCTTCGTGCTTGCTTAAGTTCTTCCAAAAGTATTCGAGCTTGGCCTATTCCCATAACAAACCCTTCCTCTCCGATTGAAATCACTATAAACTGGTCGCCATCGACTGTCTTTAGCTTAAACGAGATTTCACCCTTCTGGTGCACGAAGTCCTCTCGCAATCGTTCTACGGCTCGAGCCCTACTTTCAGCATAAGCTTTGCCCAGGCCCGTAGAGTGTTCTCTTGGCAAACCCAACTGTTGTAGTTCGTCAATAAGAACTGCTTCTTCTACTTGAGTCCTGGAAAATATTAGAAACGTGTAAGCGTTTGGTGTCAGCAATCCATCCGCAGTTCGTAATTGTTCCGTTATTACTAAATGAGAGATCTATTTAATGCATTCCTTTGGTTACGTGTATCAGCAGCCATTCTCAGATATTAAAAAAAAACCGAAGTACGAACTTCATTAATTAATTGTTACTCTAATTGTGTAACGCTGACCAGGAGCGACAAGTCATGTAGTTTGTTTACGTACCTCAGGGCAAGCTTGAGGACTTCGTGTACGGCCGCCACTGCTTCTGAATTAGTAAGCTTTTCACAGACCGCCGTCAATATTTTCGGCTCAAGACGACCTTCGGCCATGGCACGAGCGAGTTGGTTAGCTCCAGAACGGACCTGGAAAGCGGAAAAATAAAGTGCAAATTCACCTACGTTAACAACCACTATAGAGTGCACAGCTGCTAGTAATGTAATCTGTGTCCAACAGTCAAAAGTATAAATTTTTGGAGATCCGATAGTTTGAAATTAATAAGTGCTTTACGGGAGATGCAACAGATGGAAGGTACAGTACCAAGTTATCGGTAAGCTTTTATATATACGAACCTTGATCGAGCTGAGTTTTGCCAGGCTGGCCAAGGCAGCCAGAAGCCAATCTGGGCAATCCAAACCACCACAGAATTTGAACCGCATCTTTGATTTCTGAAACCACAAAACGCATGTTGTGACTAAACACATAGCGTACATGGAAAACAATTTTTTATATTCTTTAGCTCACTACTTCCGGTATAATCGTTTAAGAATTGGAGTAGTTCCTAAGTACTTCGTGCAATTACGTGTACTTTTATGAATCTAGCGCAACTGATATCCTCTTACTAGTATGAAATAGGTTACAGGATCAGCAGTCTTGACGTGTGCGACTCGCTACAGCTCACATTACAACTTTGAGACGAGGTATAAAAACAGATACATATGATGTTCATCGACCCCTATGGTTTTTTCACAATGGTTATCCTCCAAAATTATTTGGTTCGGTTTAACAGGAACAAATATAAACACTTATAACTTTACATGTTTGCTAGTAGCACAGCATTTCCAAAAGTTCTGCTAGTTTTAATCGGTTGCCGCTGTAGGAAATATATTGGACTACGCAGATGACACTATCACTTACGGGTCTCAGATTTGCATGTTTCAGATTTTTATTCACTTCGTAGACTCAAACCTTCTTTAACAAATGTAATCATTTGCTCCGCTTTTTCAATTATATATATATATATATATATAAAGTGGAGACACGAAAGGTTTAAAGTAAAAATTTGATATTTATGAGCTTACATGATGTCATATCCCTTAAGGAAAATGCATAATTTTTTTTTTGTAAATCTCACCCACTTGATGCACTCAATAAATAATATTTACTGTATAATTCTCTTTCGCAATTTGGTCTCTAAGTAATGCCATAAATCCTTATTCGTAGGGAAGCTTTGAGGCCATAATTTTACGAACCCACCTGTATCGACTAGCGAAGCGTGCGTATTGAGATGGAAACCAATAAAACTTGAAAAATTGTTTAAAAGCGTTTGTCTCAACTCTGGAGTGTTTAAAATATGAACTAATTCGTACCTCCTCCAATGAGTCACCCAGACCTACGTGACATTAGAGATATGAACTGTACTGACTTTCAAAACAAGCCGTTCATTATCGCTGCCGGTTAATTTACGGTTATTTTTAAACTCCCTGTACATTTGCTCGGATAGTAGTCCTGTTTTTGTCTTTCCCTTAGGCCAATACCCATAAAAGGAACGAATGCTAACATGCATGTTCCAGTCGTTTGATCTTGACTTATAAAAATATCAACAATGTTCGGCGAAGCATAAATGGCACAGCTGCCCGAAACTCTGAAATTATGGTACAGATTTAGAAGGAGCAGATAAATGTCTAAAGAACCGTTTATCTTGATTCAGGCGTTAAGCACCTATGGTAAGATAAAAAAAATGAAAACTATGAGTGAAGCGAAATAAAAAAAAATGATAAAGCAGTACTTGTTTGAAAACCATTGAAAAAATACATGTATCAATAACGCGGCCAAATATTGCTTAGATTTACCGCACACGTTGTTGCTAAAATGTGTTTCCTAATAAGCTCGCTACGTGTCAAGTATAGCCTATCGAACGTTTACAAAGGTGTAAAAAAGGGCTTATATTGATTTTGATACCGGCTCCAATGGATTCAGCTATAAATATTGCCCTTTGTCTTAAGTTAGCATCTGTTAGGTTCGTCAACATAAATCACAATATATTTATTACCACGTCGCCGCCTCCCTTTATCATATAAACAAAATCTCGCCTGGTCAAGTCCTAATCACAACATTATTTCTAGTTCATTTTAATAGTAGCACGCACCGTTCGTCGTCACTGCGAACACTCTGAATCAGTCTAAAAAAAGACAGACTTTACACTTGTTTGCACAATTTATACAAAACACGTTTCGTTAGCCACAAGTTTTACGCGCACTTTATGCAAAAGTGTACTCTCGAAATTATAATGAAATTCTTTACTTAGCAATGGCCTATATCGGCCTTCGTTAGCAGTAGACATAGGACAGCTAGTTTGACGTCTACTCTTACCATAGTTGGGTTGTATGTTCGACTAGGAGCTCCACTGAACTCTAAATTGGCTCAGATGTTAGCCAGAAGGTTTGCACTGCCGACACAGTTTTGTGCGCGTCGTAATATGTCAGTTTTTGTGTCTGTGCTTGTTAAGTCTTAAAATATAGAAGCGTCACGTAATCCAATCCCATGTGTAAACCACGATTGGCGATATTATCGGCGAGAATGCATCGTCAGATTCGTATAATAAAGATCTAGCTTTCGTGTCGCGGAGCGATATGATGCGGTTCAGCGTTTAGCCTATTTTCAAAGTTGTTCTATACCAGCTGACGGGGTGCCAACATAAGTAGTGATTTCACAACTATTTGGATTATATGTGCGCGGATCTAGCGAGTTTAACCTTCGTACAGGTTTGTATTATGAATTGTTATTTCGGAACGAACCTAATGAGCTGGTGCCGTATACGGGCCTGACCCTATATTGGTCGACTTTGTATTTCTACAAAACGCTGCAATTATGTTTCTTTGTCTATTGAGTTAAGCGATGTTGTTTTATTCGAGATACAGGCTTGGTATTTTCCCATGTTGGTCCTACTCGACGTCTCGTACCTATTTTTTATGCGTCATCAAACATTCTATTTGGTCTGGACCTTACCTTGTCATACCCCAGTTTGAAACCATCGATGCGCGATAACTAATGCGGTTTGGGATTGACTCTGCAATATTAGTATTTTTATCTCCATCAGTGTAAATCATGGAGGTATAAATCGCTTTTGATGTCATGTTAGAGACTTGATTTGTCAATGGAAGACATTATACACTCCGTCGCTTATGCGATGGTCAGTGTTTGACTTTGGAATTGGATAACAGAAAGAACACCAGTGATGTCATACGGTGAGCGATCTACGACTTGAAATTCACTTATGTTTTATTATTGTTTGCGCTGGCCTGAACCAGCATCCGGCGGTACCATGTATTTATTAGTAATTATCGAGCGCACGTAAGCGATACTGACTTTAGGGATGACGCCTACAGTTGAAACACGATTAGCAACAATGTTTTACCTATACATGCGACTGCTGCTGGGCGTAATGAAGCAACCATTGTGTACCGCGTCATTTTGTAAATTGTCATCTACAGTAACATCAGTAGGCGGTTGTGGGATCGTATCGCATCGGTGACATGGCTTTGTGAGTTTTTAATTACGTATTCTGAGGCTTATGTCGGGGAAAAGGTATCTAGACCTGTTGGCACAACTGAAGTATGACAGATACATCAGTCCAAGGCAATAAATAGCGAATACAGTTAATTTGTACTTAAGGTTTAAACTATCTATATATTTCCAGCAAATGAGATAAGCGTTTCATGTATAGTCGGTTTAATGTCTCTTATTTTGGAAGCAGAACAAAATTAATTAGACTGGCAGTCGTTTGAAATCGAGCGATTGTTTTTTTTTTCTCTGAGCCTGTGTTATGTAGACTTTGAAAAAGCAAGACATTTTAAATTTGGTTAACAATAAAACAATGTTGTGTAGTTAATTTCCGCAGCAAAGGAGGTGAGCATAGGAATGTCTCATAGCTGCGGGACCACACCGACTGTTTTTTCTGTGATTCTTTTTCGTCGTACAAGCTATTTTTACGAAGGAGTTATTCTGGAAAACGTAACGTAGTTTTAATTATGGTAAAATTCAATCAAATTCAGCGAACTGTAATAATATTTGCATTGTTATTACCGGGCTAAAGTGATTTATTTCAGAAATTATGTATAATTTAGAATGTTAGTAGGAAATATCGTAAAAAGCTCAAACTCTTAACTTCGCGACTAGGCCTTACTAAAGAAACAAATATAACCATATATCCTATCCTTCAGTGAACTTTTTCATTAAGCAAAGTTATTGGATTGTGATAACATTACAGGACATTTAACAATCTGAATATTTTCAGAAAAGATTCAACATAATTGACAAGCAGTTTCATGTATATCAACGTGTATGTTGATATAATGACTGTTGTCAAGCAATAAAAGCTGAGACATAGTCTAATGCTAAGTGTTGAAGTGATCTATAGTCAGATTTATCATCTCCTAACCTCGGGCTCTCGTCTAATAACTTGTGGTCTCTTCAATATATAGATTTTAGATGTATCTCTTACCGCTTGTTTGAAATATTAGTTAGGATACGCCAGGTCGGCAGTGACCACATCTGTGAAGAGTGAGTCGATTAGGCTATAGCACATGTGAAAGGAAAAGTAGCCATGAAAGACTTGTGCTTCGTCGACAATAGGTAGGCTAGAAGTCACAGTTTCTACTCGAATATGTTTGATATCAGTTGAATCGGACTACTCTCTTGGTGTATATTGTATATATAATATGTTATACTGTGTACCTGTAAAAAAAAATGTTTACTAAATTATTGATTAAATAAGGTGGTTATACACAAATGTCTTCTCTAACATAGTCTTTTGTTATATCATAACATGATAATTATGTTGTTGGACTTACTGTTCCTTCAGGAGACATGGCGGAACCTAACGGGGGTGGTTCGAGTGAGAAAGGATCGAGTGCTCCTGGTGGCGCAGGCGGCAATGCCACGGCCCCACCCCTTCGATCGACCAACAGCGACAATGAGGACCACGTATATCACGTCCGATGGGTTGAGTTGGGTGGCGTTAAGTATCCTATCGTAACCCAGAATGAAAATGGCCCGTGTCCGCTTCTGGCCATTATAAATTTACTTGTCCTGAAGGGTGCTATACATTTGCAGGACATGGGAGGAATTGTCACTGCGGAGCAACTCAAATCGTACGTCATGGATGCCTTGCTTGGAGCAATGCCAGGGTATGTAGAGCATCCTAGATGAATAATTTGATATTAAAACACGATTGCAAGGATTTATCTGCTTTATGGAATATAGAGGTTTTGAACGTCGTTAGAATTGTGGCAAGCGTTGCGATAATCGTTTACTGCTTTGCGGTGACGTAAACATGTCTTATATTTAGCTTTTAGTAACATTGCACATTTGAATGTCAGTTTTTGCATCTAACCCAATCGAGCAGTGAACATTCTAAGCAGTTGTATTTTTATACATTGTGTGTTTTAGGGACCTACCGGAAGCTTCACAGCTTAACTATCAACAGAATTTTGACGATGCTGCATCAATCTTACCCAAATTGTCAACAGGCATCGACGTTAACGTTAGATTCACGGGGTTTGTAATCCTTATGAATTTATAACGGAATGATAACCCAAGCTCAGCCATACGTGTGTTGCTAACCATTTTATACATCATTTTCGAGCGCAGGTGTATACTTAAAAAGAAAATATTATTAAAAATCTAAAACCTTAGAATTAGTCTGCATGTTTGTTTGTTCACGTTTGATAAATGTTCTATCTTTTACGACTCTAACGTGGCTTGGCTTTACGCATTTTTACATCTGTTCAATTTATATCCGTCTATTCACCAGAGTCCGCGATTTTGAGTTCACGGCGGTGTGTAGTCTGTTCGATCTCCTTCAAATTCCACTCTACCACGGCTGGGTAGTTGATCCGCATAATCAAGCGCAATGTCGCGCTGTAGGCAGGTTGACTTACAACCAACTAGCGGAAAAAGTTATCAATGATCGTGCTTCACCGGATAAGGAGAAAAGTTGGAATGGTTGGTACTGCTCATTAGAGGGGCTCAAATTATTTCATTTAGTATTTCAAATAGACATTGGTTTCATTCCAAAAAAAGTTTTGGTTAGGTGCATACGATAGGAGGCCGCTACTGATTCAATCACCTGCGAAACATTCTTCTGGAAAGTTTCCATTTGGCCCAGGATACTCTTGATCGTAGTCGGTTTAAGAAGGAACTTTCTGGGATAACACTAATAAAGTCAGTTGTATTTCGTGTACTTAATGCAAACAGAACATATATCGTCTAATCGTGAATGAGCATTTTATAGATTAATTAATGAAAACTGCTAATTTGTTTATCATATCGCAAAAATAACATAGATATTCAGAAAAGCTATATCTACGTTTTTACTAATTGCCGATAGATTCAGAAAACATTAAACTGATGTGCGGCTCGTTGCTGTCCAGCAAGGTTATAGATTGAAATTGGCTTTGATTGATATTTATTATATACAAATGTATGTTTAAATGCTCTTTTAGCCGAGCTCTGCGATCATTTTCTAAAGGATACCAGCTCTCAACTTACTATTGCCGGGATCAACCAACTTAAAGACACGATGAAGGATCACGAACTCGCCGTACTTTTTAGAAATAACCATTTTATTACGCTAACTAAGCACAACGTAAGTCGATGTTACTGGCTATTTTTAGGAAAAAATGTACCTTTCAACCACTTTTTTACTGTATGGCGTTAGTTCCCTAATAAAGTCAGTTATATTTCATCTACTTAATGCAAACAGAACATCTATCATCTAATCGTGAATCAGCATTTTATAGATTAATTAATGAAAACTGCTAATTTGTTTATCATATCGCAAGGATAATGTAGATATTCACAAAAGCTATATCTACGTTTTTACTAATCGCCGATTTGATTTCTATCAATATGTCTCACACACGTTCTACTGAAATAATTTTGCGGCTGTATTGTTTATTCGTGACGGCGTGCCCTGTAGGGCCAGCTACACCAATTGGTGACGGACCAAGGTTTCTTGCAAATGCCGTCGGTCGTATGGGAAACTCTGTCAGGTGTTGTCGGCGGGGGCAAGTTTACCGATGGTGACTTCCGCGAATCGCCGCCTCAACTTACGCCCGAGCAGCAGATCGAAACTGACGCTCAGATTGCCCGTCAGATGCAGAACGAAGATGCGCAAGCGGCCGCAACCATGTCGGCCAGTCGTGCACATCCGGCTAGCATGCGAGACAGGTTCGTTGACTTTTAGCGATTGAATGTTTTGAATTTTACGTCCGGTTACATACGACTTCAAACTGCTAGTTCCCAGCACTAAACGAAGTACGTCTACGGCCGGTGGTAAACTGGACCGCCTCACGCACCTTTTTGATTACTAGGTAAACATTTTTCCAATGCACCGTCATGGAGACGATTTCTAGCGACTAAAAAGGTTAATTATGCTTGCTATGTCTGAATCTGCAAGCGAACCGTAAATCTTGAGCTACCGAAAGGTTTCTTGAATTAACAAGATCATGTCAATGCCACGAGTGCATCCCAACAGACAATTAGAAATTCAATGAAAAATCTATTTTACAGACGCAGTAAATCGGGACTTCATCATCGTTCAAAGCGGTCGTGGTAAATTAATTCTTTCTACGCAGTACTTTTGGCAAAGCTTTGCTCCAGATCCTTCAGTTCTGAAGTTTGCTCTAAATTAAGGTGGTCAGACTGGTGAGCCAATCTTTGCGTACCTCAAGGAGTGCAGCCAAAATTCACTAGTTACTTGAGCTCTTTGAAATTGTCGTATTTTTTAAAGTAAAATAGGCGCCCATTATGGCGCTCAAGTATTAGAAATAAAATACGATATATTTATTACTCCATGGTATATACGCAGAGGTGCACTTTGATCGTGATTTGTAGTGGAGAGGTCATCGTGGCATTCTTTTCCTATCATAAATCAGTGCGCCCCATATTGTGCGATCTCGCTAGTTTGATATAATACAGAGTAAAACTAGACACGTGATCTATTAGAGAAACTGACGCGAACTTTATTATAAGACTTAACTTGCAAGGACGCCAGTCGGACGTACTATGGACAGAAAATGTGCTAAACATTTCATCGATGTAAACATACAACTACGAATATAGCGTCGGAGTTTTTCCCTCATAGATATGGATAGAGGTGCAGAATGTTCAAAACATCGTTTTTCGCGTATGTTGCATGCAAATGTCTATCATAGTGTAACAAGATGGTTTCGTTTTGTCAAAGAACGCCTATCAAAAATATCGCAAACGTAAATTTCATTGGATTGGTAAATACTAGCACTCGTGTGGTGTTACACTTACTTTAAACAATGAATTGATGACATCTAAAAGAAACGAAAAAAGATAATGTTAATTAGATGATTGTGAGGTACCGCACCCGAAAGTAAGAGTATAATCCGATATGGTAAGGCAAAATGTAAATTCAAAGTGTTTTTTGCAACGTGTCTTTCTTTAGGCCGCGGCAAAATCAGCCGGGACATCAGGGTAATCTGGTCCTGAGTGGTGCACCCGGCGGCGGTGACACAAGTATTCCTGACGACGTTCGCGCCGGCGATGATGTTCAAGGCCAAAGTCGGGTGCCGTCCCCAGATGGAGACCATGGCAGATCACATGTGAGTCCGACTGATAATACTAGTAACTCCAAGAAATGGGTATGTATGTGTTATTTGATCGGTAAGGTGTTAGCCTTTTGAGGACTGAGAGAGTTTGAAATGGATGGATTATCATTAGGAGATACTTATCACGGCCACTATTTGGACATGTGATTCTGTCACTGAGCATCAGAGAGCAAGAAAATTTTGAACAAAATTAATACTGATTCATAAACATAGCTTGAGTTGAAAAATCGTTGCACTCTCTAGTGGACAATACGTATAAATAAATAAGCAATAGAAATACGGCCCGCTAGCAGGTTCAAAACGTAACCTTTAAACACTAACAAATATGGTTAGTCGCTATTCGGCGAAGTTTACTAAATTACGCTCTATTTTTGTTTGTGTTAGCTTAATATCCAGCCTCAGCTTGATTGTAAAGCTCAAATGTAAAGTTGTTCTGCCGAGTGCTATTACATTTAGCCAATACAAAATCTGCAAGCAAACTATTGAGAGCGATTTATTAATACTAAATGTGTCAAATATTTTTACAGCTATTCTGGAGGACCTAGAGGCAAGTTACTGTAAAAAAATGAACCCTTTATTAGAACTGATAACCAGGAGTAGTTGCTCGAGCTGCTGCAGCCTTAATGACAACAATTTTTTCTTGCTCTGACTATGATGGTGGTGGACACTATCTGAGATCTTATGCTATATATACATATATCTATTTTACATTTGTGCTGATGAATCGCCTCAATAACCTAACTGACCACATTTTTTGATCTGATTTGACCGATTTGCTTCAAAGATGCTGCTTTCGCTGGGAGCTTGACAAGAGAATTTTAAAGAGCGAAATAATATTTACTCAAAATAATCGGAAATAGACATTTTCTTTGCCTACAATCCTTTACTTTGTTGTCCGCAGCATGACCTCTATGAATAGATGCACTTATAACGGATCTACACTATTGCCATACTGATAGCACCTTCTGATAGGAGTTATACGCAACTGTTGAAACCAACTTAGCCTACCCAATACTTTCACACATAAAGCTTATTCCTGGTCAATATATTTCCGGAAAAGAAAGTGATCATGATAATACAATTGTATCGGCAATGCTGTGTATTTCAACTGTCTTTTTCTGGCAGGAATTGTTTTCTTTTTCCAAAAGAAAACCTGTTCAAGGCAACATATCTGCATAACAAACAGAGTACGAACATATACTAACATCTTATACAAATTGCTGAGACTGAATATTCTGTAGTTTTTTTCTTACCTTATCTTATTACTGTTTCAGCATGTTTGGCATCTAGAAGGGCAGCTTAATCATTAGTTCTGTTACTGACACAAATAAGCTATTCGTCCCACGATCTTTGTGTTCACTAATTTCACATTTGGTTTTATTCTTCGTCTGTGTGTACATGTGGAATGTTCTTTAAATGCATAGAACTGCAGCGTTTCGTAGTACAGGCCTCCTCGGGACCGCGACGACTTCGAACGGAGTAGTTGACCCAGTCCCCCAGAAAGAATAATAGAAAAACGATGATGATAGCATCAACAACAGCCAGAACAACGATATCGTCTCCCAAGCACCTCGGTCATCGCGAAGATCATCCCTGTAGCATGAACGGCATAATTCAAGGTATCAAGCGAGCATCAACTCTGCGTTGGCTCAACCTTTCCAGCACGCTGAATTACATATTGACGTTGAGGCTGCACGTCTCCTTTTCGAAGTCAACTCACTGCGTCTCTTAGCGGTGCCTTTACTAGTGCAGATCGGAGGTCAGAGATCGAAGACAGGAGACGATTACTGATACATAATACCTCAAGAGTTTGATACCTTCCGAGAAACGAGGAGAGCCACGTGTTATCCATCCATGAGATAATATTATTTAAGCCGACAACCCTGTATTGCAGTTGCGGTATCTGCTTAGTGTATGTCAGTTTATAACAAGTGCAGACGACTGACAAGTACAGGTTCATAGACTCATTTACCTAACTATTTGTTGATGACTAGCAGTGCACGAGCAGCGAAAGCGGACGACTCAATCCGAGAAATTTACTAAATACATATATACACACACCCACTAATGCATGGCTGTGGTTTAATGTGTAACTATCCTGTATTACGAGGGTACCAGTCTTTTTAATCGGTGCAATTTCGGTGTTTATAATTTTGCTTCGCAGTGCGCAGTGCGATATTGAAGGATAACAGGTCCGAAATGCGATGGGTGGTAGTTAGTCGCGGCGCTAACGTTCGACGTGTTTGAGCACAAAATTTCCAAATAATAGTGGTAATAACAAGATGACCATCATTGGTGCCGGTAGTGTAATCATTGGATTTTAATTTCAAAAAAAGCAATGGAGAATAAGCCTTTGCCTTGTGTGTCTTCAGTTAACAAGTCGAAACTTTGATCTGAACTGGGAAAGGACCTGACTAATGATTGATTTTGTCAAATTTGGGTGCAAGTACTAACAGGATGTTTATTTTACATTGTTTGGACATTGTCATTCTTTTTATGTAATTTTTGTCACTACTATTGCTATCCAGCTGTACCAAAAACGTGATCTTCGAAAGGTTCCTGAAACACTAATCTCGAATTTTATCGTAATCGTAAGGACTGTACATACTCTAAAAGCTTAGATGTCATTTATGAATAATCGAAATAACAAGGAGAGAGAATGGAATGAGGTGGAGAAAATGTGTTGACGTAACATTACTATAATATATGTATCATTTCTATCCTACTATTTACAAAATCATATGTTCCTCACGAACATATTGGAGAGATCGACAGGCATATGACGGGAAAAGCATTTAACTCCTGCAAAACCCCCTCCAATTGACAAAGCTTCTACCTTTATTATTTACCTTTTTGCCCATCAATATAGGGTTTATTAGTTCATGCTGTGGCAAGCTCTGCTTGCTCTTATGCATCAAGTTTAGCACAATAGTATACCAAGCCCCTGTGCTCGATGACGGTGCGAATGAGCTAAATTTGAAAGCTTTATATTATAATTATACCAAGCTAGCATACAATGATCCTCTTTAGAATTTATTTAGCCTCGGGCCTCGGTAATAGGTCAGTTTTCTTGTCCAACGAAATATTTGATCGGAGTACCTTGTTCGAATTTGCTGTGAGTGAGAGGCTGTTAAATCTGTGTTGAAACTTCGTAAGGGCAAAGGCGACAGAAAAACGGTTTCTAGATAATTTGAATGTGCTGCAATCGGCTTATTATAAGCCATGTGGATAGTATTTATAGTAACCCAACTACACTGGGGAGAATAGTGACGTTAATGCATTAATGGTGAGATAACTGATGACAAGGACGACAGAGATGCAAAGTTGAATAATGTTGGTTATGATGTGCGATATGAAAGAAACGTGTGATAGCGGTAACAAAATGTAACGAAATACATTATATAGATGGAACTAGAGATATGAGTCGGTGAATAACATTTTTATGCGAATGTTAAAGGAAGTTGGAGTCATATCGACAAGCAGTATATAATGACGTAGGTAAAGGCAAATGTGGCGATTGAAACGAACGTTAATCATATTATTGCTAGAAAAAAATGAACCTGAGCTCTTACGGCCAGGCGCTTTCACAACATCAGATGAACTTGATATCGGGTAATTTAAAAAGAAACAATGAGGTATGGAAGATATTGGTAGTATTATTATCATCTTTTATAGCAGCAAAACTAGTAGAGTTATTCCTGGTTTTTACTTTTGGCTTCAACATAATATATAAAACTTAGTTCAAGTTTTTTATATGTGTGAGAACATCAAGCAGATGATATTTAGTAATTGTCTACTCGCATAGAAGTGCTAAAGAAGAACTGTACAAAATAAAGTGAACAGAAACTGATAAACAACTCGTACCAAGATATAACTACGATGATACTGACGGTAACGATGATTCGAGGGTTTAGTTTACCAGGCAGAGGTGAGACGCTAACATGTCACGTCCATCTAAGAAAACAGAGTTGAATCTCAAACTTTTCATGTCGTATTGCAGCACACAAAGAGGACGCATGGTCTCTTCTATTAATCAGTTCTTTATCTTATACGCTAAATTTATATCCGTTAGGACGAATCAATAGTTTGCAGAGGATCTATCTCTATAAAAGTTACTTGACCGTGCCGTTGTAAAAATTCTTTGGAATTTAAAACCTTCTAAATGATGGAACTACGTAAGTATTTAAACGATTGTTTTTTCCGCGAAGTTTAAAAAAGTTTATGATCTACTTTCTCTCGCGGAGCAAAAAGCTATACCAGGTAATCTTCTGAAACAAGGAAACAAATACTGGAAGTAAAAAAATCGATGATTTCACAAGTCACCATAAGGCTAGTTATTCCTTTAATAGTCATCCAGGTAATCATTCGTATTCGATGGACTACTGCACATCAAACCTTGTCGAAAGCAAACTCTGTTTTGAGGTCTACTAAATAGTTAGAATTCACAGCTTGATACAAACAAATGTATTGCAGATAATGGACGCTTCCCATCGCATTAAAACATGCACGATTTTGACTTCGAATTATATTCGAACATAGCCGCCCACTAGGCACGGTAAAATTGCATTATATGCGTGGGCTATAAAATTCGTACACTACCAATTGTGTAATCGTTAAAATAGGCATAATTCTGCTTCGGTGTCATGCGCTCAACAAACGAACAAGAGTACAAGGTGCATCAACGGTATACAACAAGCAGGACAGGCCAGCTTTTTTGTGAGTTGCTTTACTAAGTAAGCTGGTTGTAAGTTGCGATTATGAAACTCCATTTAAATTTCTTTGCGTAGTTTTCTTTCCGAGAGCTTTGAGATGATATAGTAACGTATGTGTAACTCTTATGGCTTTCGAACTGTAACGTTGTCTGATTACCTCACCTTGACGACTAAAAAAGTTGTCAATAATTCCTTTGAAACTGATGAGTGTGACATGAATCAGATAACTCTTTGGCACCATCGTTACTCTTAAGCAGCTTTCATTTTTATTATTTTTATGACAAGGGCGAGGCCGAATAAAAACAAAGTCTGATAAAAGAATTTACCCACGAATCTATGCATGAAAATAAATTGCGAATAATTATTTGTATAGTTATTTGTAAACAAGTGCGTTAAAATGAGCTCTCTGGTAGAGGCCACTTTGTAAAGGAGTATACGTTATGTTATCATACTGACAACCATAGGTATTATTTTACCTGATAAGTTTTCATGAAGAAATAAAGACTGCGCGAGTTAACTCGATAAACACTGGACAGAGATCGATACGTGCGCAAGGTTGCAGAATTAAAAAAGACCAACGTGGGATTTATTTAGCATAGCTTTAGAAGAAACAGGTTAGACCTCGTTAGAATTAATCGTACAGAAACGGACGAAAAATACAAGCAATAAGAAATATCGCAAAATACAAAGCACACTGAGAAAGTCGTTACAGGCTGTTGACGGCGGTAATACGAATACTGCCGATATATTGATATTATCATTGGAATATATATATGCACTTGAAGAAAACGCTGTCAAGTGGAATCTGGGTGCTCTTGATGCTCGGCGGGTCGCTGTGATTGTTCGTCTGCTTTCGATGGCACCCTGCTGACTAGGATATACAAAATGAGGAAAATGTCAAGTAAGATGAACGGTAATGATATACGGGAAAATATTTACCAAGAAAAGCGTTTATGGCGGTGATTCATAGTAATACGTATAATTATTATGATAACAAAAAGGATGTCGGATGTTCAAGATCTCCACACAAAATTAGCAGAAGTACCGATTACTGAACAGGCGGATCCGTGCGGGTAAGGTGGTAACTGATAGTAGATTTCAACGCCTGTAGTCTGACGCGCATCTTTCAATAGAGGATTCGAGATCATCTATTCAAAGGAAGCTCCATCCGGCAAATGTAAAATACACTGAAGCGCTTAACTAAGAACGGGATCAGAAGAAGAAAGCTAATCAGAAGAAAAAGAAATAAAAGGACCGAAGGAGTGGAGTATAAATTTGGACGAGGCTCTACGGCGCCGATATCTGTAAATAAATATCCTGAACTTGTAACAGGTTTGTGTACTTATTACGTCCACTGTCGTGTTTTTTGGGTTATTCATTGATGAAGCGAACTTAGCGAAATGCCCCACCTTAAGGGTCTGAGACCGTCAGCTTAGACACAAAATAACTGTAATTATTTATATAATTTACTGCTATAAGCAAGCAAACATTCTCCGGCTACTTTTAGGACCTTTTACTTGATATACGTTTTTAGCAGCCCGCAGTTTTTTAGTGCACTTAAACACTATCCTTAACCAGAGATTTCTGGGGGTTGAAGACGTCAAAGGTCGCTGTTTCAGGTTTCGTCATCGACATATATTAAATAACATATGTAATTAAATCACAAAAGTAAGATCGCTATTACATATACACAAATATGCTTTCTTGGTTCGCAAAAACAAAGCTTTAATGCTGGAGTGTGGCTCCTTGGACATAAAAGCACTTGGTAAAGAGACCCAATTTGCAATAGTTATTAAATAAAAATCCCAATTGGTATCCCCATTTCAACACGATACGTGTTGCGTCAACTTGGGTCTGTATGCAATTAGTTGTATTCGCCATACTTCATACGCAACTGCTAGTTTATGTCAATAAGGAACATAGATGCCAGCTCCACGGCCTTATATTTTCGACACCTATACAAAAGCCGCTTGTAACTTTAATAGTATTTCCCTAAAGTATACTTATAAAAGAAAAAAAACAGAAATGATTATTTTCGCTTATCGTGCAAATGGGATAGAGCCGTCTGAATTTCCTTGTACTCTATTCTTGAGGTATAACTAGTGTAAAAATGATACATCTCATCCAGAGAACAAAACTATGGTGTCTCAATGGCCCTATCGTAATTTAACTCAAACAGGATGCTTGCTAATAATTAACATAGCAGTAGTATCTATTTATTTATTTATTATTCAAAGGATAAAAATAGCGTGATGCAAGCTTCATGCAAAAACTCATACGTCCAATGGCGTTATTAAGTTGTGGCGTTTATTCAACTGGTGTTTGTGGTACTTGGACGTCACGAAAAAGATATTGTCTTCCGACAACGAATCAAGGTAGAGTTTCATGAATTGTATTCATGCTTCAAATCCTAAAGGTCAGCAAGTATAGTGAATGAGAGAGATACATTATAAGTTTAATTTTCACTCATCAACGATGATCGTATAATCAATATACTGGTTGAATTTGGCCTAAGTTATTATAAATTTCATTAGTCTTTTCCACTTGGTGTATTTTTGACCGTGTAATATGAACATACCAATAAAGCACTCGTCTACTAGAAATCAAACTTTTCAACCATGATAATGTCTCAGCTAGCTTACTGTTTGTAGAGCGGTAAGAGACGTTCAGAGATGTTAGTTTTATTGGATTACATTATTCTTATTTTCTATACATAAAACACCTTGAATGACGCTATACAAAAAATACGTGCCTTAGCAACAAGCAAGTAATAGGTAACATGGTGTACACCCGCCTGACTATTCGAACTTAATCGGCAATACCCTTTCCATAGGTAAAGCGAAAGGACTCGTACCAGCTATATGGGCACATATTCGCAGTTTCTGACCAGTTTAATTCTTAAGATATTGTACAAGACAGAGTTAGTTAAGCTGGTACGATTTTACGTGTGCGCAGTTTATCGCAACATGGTACGTATCTTATCGTTTTTAGGGATCGTATTATTACAAAGTTTTACATTGTCAAAAGTGCATCACAAGCTATAAATAGGCGGGAGACTGTGGCAAGCTACACGAATGCCTTCCAATGAGATATAGCATTTTATGTAGTATAAAAATAATGAAAAATGGCTATAAGGAACTAAGGCAACCGCTTCCAACCTATGATTAACTGGAAAAATTCTATTATAATAAACATGTGTCACTGAGTTGGACGAGAGTTGCAGCAAAAAATAACTATCTACACGACCAGCAGAATCATAAGTCTTGTGTCCATGTACATAAATAAGCACCCTGTGCTTTAACTTTTCTTAGCGCTCGCTGATTCACTTCTTTTACTGGTAGATATCTCAGTACAGATATCATCACTTATAGATAGATAACGTGGAAAGCTCAGTGCTATGCGAAAAAAACGAGAGGCTGAACAGAATATGGATAAAACATCATGAGGAGCAGCGTCTACAGCTTTGTAAAGAGCGACACGCAAATCCTCAACCAATTGTACCGGTGAGCCCTCTATTGGCTGAAACGGCAAACGGTCCTATCCAACACGAGCTAACGTTGTGAAGCGCCGCCCGATGCCGCTACAGTCAGTTAAAGAAACCTCTGTGAGGCACCGGCGATTGATTGTTAGAGTAATGGTGGCGATCATGCTAGCGTTTTAATTGTCAATTGCCTCAGCTGTGGCCTGCCTGTATTTTGTTTCAGTAATCAAGCGTGCACATCGAGCTCTCACGACACAGCAGTTTTAGATATAACGAAGGCAAAAAGAACCAATATCAAGCAACCATAGCCGTAACATGGGCCACCCATTGAACCTTGGTGATGATTTTCCCAACTTCAAGTGCGTTACTACAGAAGGGGAGTTTATGTTTCACGACTGGCTGGACGGAAAGTAAGTACACCATTTCTAACAATGTTGAAATAAACGTACATATGATTTTGAACTGCTGCTAATCTAAACAGCCTGCTACTATACCGCTGCTTTGCTAAATCCTTTTAACTGGTTTCATTGTTAGTTAAAGTAAAATTAAACAATAGTTAATGGCATAAATGAAACAATTCTCCATTCAATTATGTGATTATATATATATATATATATATATATGCTCAACAGAAACTAGACAGAGATAGACATTTGCGCATGGTTGCAGGATGGAAAAAGACCAACGTGGAATCTATCTAGCATAGCTTTAGAAGAAACAGGTTAGGTTTCTTAGAACTAATCGTACAATCGTATTTATACAAACAATAAGAAATACCGCAAAATACAAAGCAAATTGAGAAAATCGTTACAGAGTGTTGACGGCGGTGATATTGTGACTGGAGTATATATATCTATATATTCTTTGTGTTGTTTAAGGCCACTTATATTTTATGTGTCCTATATTAAACGTAAAAATGCGTCTTTTTTTTTGTAGTCAGGAGGATTCTACATCGGTTTTTTATTTATTGAATTGCTGAAAAATGGTTTAAGATTGGCTTACTTACGTTACAGGTTTCCTCTTAAAGCGAATGTCAACTAAATTAAATGATAGTGAACATGATATACCTGAGGTGACCGCTTTAAAAATCAAGTTATTATTTATATTACCATAGGCACCCAAAGTTATCAATGACTGCGACCCGTTTTAGAGCTTTCAATTCGAGGTTGTTTTTCTAGGTCGAGAAATCTTTAGTAAACTACGATACATATTCTTGCGAGTCGTTGTCGCACTCAATCCATCTATAGTAACCAAAAATGCCTTGTCGATAAAGTTCTTTTGCCGTCATGTTCCACGATATTTACTAGAGAATGCTTATACAAGAGTCGCTGATAAAACTCTAGGAGTTGTTGCGTATGTTGACTGAGTCACCGGCTGCTGTCGATAGACTGTCTAATCGCACTCTGTGCCTATCACAAGCACAGTTTGTGTGAACTCGATTTCTTATATACTTACCATACTGATTAGCCTCTGAGGAAGATAGACGTTTAGTCTTGATGGCTTATAAGAGAACTATCATAATATGATATATATCAGACTTCTAATGAGTACATGATAAATAAGGTATGGCGTGTAATTAGTTTTAACATTTGTTATCTTCAGAAGAGGTATATTTTACTTTTTTATTGCCCCTGAAAATAAACGTCGATTATACATTTGAACTAGGTTATAGATTACTGATCTTCTCTTTATGGATTTGTATACTTTCGTTTATTTATAAAGACACATTATAAAATATGTCGTCATTCATGTACTGCACCCAAACTCTGATTTGCATTACCACCCCTAGTTACAATATCCGTTACAGAGAGACAAACCCCCACCTAAAAAAAGGACGAATACATTGCCCATTTTGGCGTAATGAAACAGATCGGGGAAGAATGACAATAATAGTGAAGAATTCGAGTATTTACGATACAACAGACTGTCAGTCTGACACAAACAGACGAATAGAAATGCTGTTCGATTAATATTAGCGCTAAGGTCTACCTCAGCGCCAACCTGGTCCATGAAAGTTTACTATTATGTTTTCCCTCAGAGACTGTTTTGCGGATCCATTGCAAAGAGAAGCAGCTGGCTAAGATTAATTTAGATGTCATTTACAAAAGCTAATGGTTTCAAAACATGATTCAATTCAGTTTAGCAAAGGTAAGTTATTACGGTAAGTGAGTTATTACTATGCACCGAAATAATGAATTTTTATACTTGTCTTCCTGTAAGGGCTAAAACTAAAAGAAATAAAAAGAAAGCATCAAGAATTTTGCAATAGGCAGTTGAAAACTGTGAGGAGCGCTCATATCAAGCTATTCATGAAACAGTCATTATGTTGTGCGCTCTTTTTGGTCCTCGACTCTACTCTGATGGGAGCAATATTAGGATCTAGATCAAATCACTGTAGCCTAATGAAATTTCCTAGAAAACGGTGATCAATTTTTACAATGCACACGCACGCATATTTTACTCTTTCGGGATTACTTAACTTTTTGTTTTTGGCGATCTGAGGTGACTCATAAAGCCACTTGAGTGTGTAATAGGCAGATCATGGCTGTTGCGGTGTTACGGGCTACTGAAAAAGCACAGGCGAAGGCCTTTTATACGCGGTAGTTGAGCTTCAATTGGAACCACTATTAAAAGCGGTCAAGTGTTTAGCACGAAAATTCGATCCTTAACGTAAATATAAATGAGCACGCATCTACCATCTGTGGCATCCCTTTCACTCAAGTTGATCGTGACTGTGTTAAAATTTGAATTTTTGCTATTTAGTTACAAAAACAATTGTAAAACTAATGTTGCAGAAATATTTCATTTGTTGCTGATATATCCTATTATAAATTCGATGCTTTCTGTAGTGCTTGGCAAATTTCACTTCTTACATCTTCATTTAAATCTAGCTAAGATGTACACGCCATATGCTCGCAAATGTATGTTAGCTATTCCAGTACACTTCGACAGTCGTGATCTTTCGAAGGTAGTCCAGTACATAGTTGTTCATTTTTCTTACTATAAATAACAGATAGCAAGTTTAAACGTAAGCCAGAACGTAGATGTTACTTCTACTATCCAACGATATAGATAGTTTGTCTTTTGGCGGCGCGTATCCTTCTTTGTGGTGAAGATAGTCGATTTGCATTCGCTGGTTGTCCTCAACCGACTACTCGACTCAATATGCGGGATTTTACTAGTTCGTGACTGGGCTCAAGGTGTATTCAGCTAAGTCGTGAACTGTGAAGACAGCCATTGCTGTCGTCTGTGCACAATCACAACAATGACAAGCAGGGTCTTCGATTAACTGTAAACAACTCCGCAATAATGGATACTTATCGCTTTACCACGAGAACGATATGGCATAATATATATATATATATATATATATATATATGTATAAGGGGTCTTGGCACTTGCTACGTTCAACCTAAATGGAAAACGCAACACACAGATAATGATCGCATCAGTAAAGCTTTAAATGGTATGGCTTGCCACGTAATTTTAGCATTCTGCTAGAGCTGTGTTTGTCAGTTTTTTTCTGCACCTGCCTATTTGCGCTCCAACAAAATTTTCATATCCCATATTATTAGCATTCTAATATATATAGCGCATCATGAATTAGCGTATTGATATGCCTTCTATTCAAGGACACTGATGCATTCCAGTATTCGATTTGCGTGGCGGCAGGCCAACGACGAATGACTTTGGCGCATTTATGAAGTGCGGTGGAACTTCAAGTCGCCCCTAAATTGTCACCTCTCTGACTGGGCTAAACTAGCACTTAGAGTTGCCAAGCCTCTACGTTCTTTCATTAGCGGTCGTACTCGTCATGAAGATTTCAGTGAGGTAGCTTCTGCGTTCCATCTGGTCAGCAATTGAATCGAAAACGTTGCCTGGTATTTTTAAAATCAATGGTACTCAGTCTTTATTTCTATGGCTTTTCTACTAAGTGCTGTAAATGCATACTAATGCGCCGAGCTGTGCTCAGGCTTCTAGCAGATATGCTGTTTTATATTCCATGTTTTTCATAACGTGCCTTCCAGATGGGCGATTCTCTTCTCGCACCCGGCCGACTACACTCCTGTTTGCACGACTGAACTAGCCCGCGCCGCTCAGCTGCATCCCACGTTTACTTCAAAGGGAGTAAAGCTGATTGCGCTCTCGTGCGATTCTGTTGAAAATCATCGCGGATGGATTAAGGTTGGTGATAAAGGGTTAAGGCTGGTCAAGTGGAGACCCGCGTCACCAGTTTGTTAGAAATATTGATAGCAGATCGATTTCGCTGACTATGAAGCTATGTGTCCGTTGAAATGTTCAACACAGTCTTATTGTTTTTCTGGTATAGAATCAATATATGTTTTTCTCGGAAATTTTCAAGATAATACTAAACCGAAATTCCGGATGTAAAGTCCCAACCGCTAAAATGTTACATCATATAGAATCTTGCATTTTAGTCATTTGCCTGAACCGTAGTCATTCATTGATAATGTACATAACATTTTTATGAACACTTACATACATGCTTGTCCTTATAAGCCCTATATGCAATTAAAGAAAACTGATGATCTGTATCTTATTGATAGGACATTGAGGCGTTTGGCGAGCTGCCAGAAGGTCCGTTTCCGTATCCGATCATTGCTGATGAGAAACGTGAGATCGCAACCCTTCTTGGAATGCTGGATCCTGAGGAAAAAGACAAGGAGGGCATACCTTTGACGTGCAGAGCTGTCTTCATGATCGGCAAGGACCGCCGGATGAAGCTTTCGATGCTTTACCCAGCAACCACTGGGCGTAACTTCGAGTTAGTATGTTTTGATGTTTATATTATTTGTCATGTATGCCTATTTGCACTACTCATTAACATTTATACGCACTGAGTGGATGATAAATACCGACGAAATCTTCATGTAAAAAGATAGTGTCATAGAGCCGAAATCAAAGCTGAAGCAATTCTGTGCTGCTACTGAAGAATGAAAGCTCCAATGTCTTCAACTAAATTTCCATTATCTCTCTCGACGCTGAAAAGTGTGCGCATTTATTTTTGAATTATAGTGAAATCCTTCGAGCTGTGGAATCGTTGATCGTCACAGAAACGCGGCGAGTCGCAACTCCAGCTAACTGGAAGAAAGGGACCCCGTGCATGGTTCCAGCCACTGTAACAGATGACGAAATAGCAAAATTGTTTCCCAGCGGAGTCCGCATTATCGATGTTCCGTCAGGAAAGAATTATATGCGAATAACTATGGATTAAACACTGAATGGCTTTTTCATGGAACTACGGTGTACCACTATAAGCTACGAATTCATATTGGAAACAGTTACCAGCCAGTGTACGTGATACAGCTTATGATATTTCACTACGAGCGTACATAGATAAAACGTTTTTTCAATAAAAATTCAGCGTCTACTGCACACGATTTGCTTATTGCCAAGTTTTATGTAAAAAAAAAAAATAAATAAACCAAGAGTATGCAAGATTAATTGCATTATCTGTTAATCACCAATTGTAGACCCATTTTCATGATCCTCCTATCGTAAAAAGTACCAGGTACGCTATGTATAATACCTAATATCTGGGAATCCGCAAAATAATTTCGCAGACGTGAAACTATGCTATGTTCTAAAACATTCTGCAATATTCTTCAGCATGGTATAATGAGTCACCGCTCACCTTCGAAAGTAATTGTACAAATTATTACACCGTTTGCGTGTTTTAATTTTTTTCGGGTTTTATATGTCTGGTGGTGCAAAACGTGGGTTATTACAGAGAAATACGCGTGGAACCCACATTGTCTCTAGCCGTTATTATTATTCTAGTTCTTGTTTGTCGTGATCAGTGTTTCTGTTCCTGCGGCTATCATTAGTTGTTTGCCCATTCACAGTTCTCGTTTTTAAAATGATCATATTGTTTTGTGTCATTTATGCAATTCCTGTTTTTGTTTCCGTTTCCAATTCCAGCTTTTGATCTTCATTCTTCTCTATAATCACTCCATCTTATATATATATATATATATGATTTAAAATTCTGCTTGCACGTCAAGAGTGTATACATATGTGCAGTTCTGGCTGGGCAAGGAGAGGGACCACCAATCAGAAAAGAGAAAAAGTTCAAGTCACCAACGTCTTTTAGACGATTCACGCGTAACGTATCGCCTGCGTTCTCGCGGTTGTTTTACGTTTTGTTCCCTTCGTTAAGTCCTTTAAATTGCCCGAAAATTTCCTTTTGTCCACTTGTCTTTATATTATGTTTTTTACCATATAAATTTCAATATCCACCTTCACATATTTTTGAAATAGCGCAAGAATTGTCTATCTTGTATGGTGTGTTGTTATCTCAGCATTCTATAAGGTCAACAATCTAAAACGTAACTTTTAAAGTTTCCGTTACTCTTTTCAATCTATTATTCAAATCTCGCGCACCCGGGAAAATAGCGGGAAATGCTCACGTGATTTTTCGTGTGTTTTTAATCGATTCTTTTATATTTGCGCATTTCCTTGTTAGTTTTAAATGATCATAAACTTTGTTAAAAACCATCATCTTATGCTTACCTGAGAACATCGCTTCTCGTAACATAGTTCGACGCTTACGATTCTGCATCTTGCTTACTAAACAATATTTCGCCTGTGTGTATTTATTTGCTTCGTTGCTGTCACACTGGCCGTCCGGTTTTGTCGTTCTACCTATATTATATTGTTTAATAATTCGTCCAAATTATACAAAACGCTGTTATTGTTTGGTGGTGTGTCGTGTATCAGTCTGTCTTGTTTCTCTTTTTTGGTTGTTTTTTTTTTCACATAACCTTAATTCACGTTTCAGTACGCGGCTGCGTTGCGCTGCTAACCAGTGCACGCTTCTCCGTCCCGGTGTTGCCGGTGCGCCATCTACCGAGTTGGGCGAATACTAACTATTAGCTCGTAATTCTTTATTGCTTTCTTTATGTGTACCTGTATCCGTGCACATCGCTGTCTGTACGTGCGTTTGCTTGTTCGTTTTTTGACAGTATTGTACATGGTTTTGTCATGCTTATATTTATTATATAGTATAGTGTAAGTATGGTCCGTTGATACGCTAGCGCGAATATACAAATTCTATTCAGTTATATCTTAGCTGTAGATTAAAAAGGGGAAAAATGGTTTTCTGCGCTTTTTCTAGTTTTTATTTTTTCAAAATCGTCGATTTCGTGTGACCATTTCGTACGACTTGCGTCTGTTAGAAGTCAGCTCGTCTACTGTTGTCAACGAATTTTTAAATTAGTCCCTGGATTTCGCCAGTCAGTAACTATACAGTTGTTTGGATGTTAGACCATTGATATTAAGTAAGCTATAATCGTATTAGAATAATCTTCTATATAAAACCAGAACGCCATTTTCGTTTTCACCTAACATGAAAACGCTCGTTCGCGTGTAGCGTTCCTTCCGACGGCTCGCTAAAAGCAGTTCCTATTTTTGCTGGTGTTATTCCCTCATGAAAGACCTATGATATGAATTAGATACGGCAGTGGTAACCGCAACCATCGAATTGTCGAGATCACCCGCCAGTACTGCCAAGTTCGAGCGAAACCTCCTTCGAATGTACATGCCTGTCTGTTTTTTTTTCTACGTCGATATGGTCAATGATTATAACGTTAGTTCGATAATATTGTGACTACTATTTGTTATAGCAGCAGTTTAAGTTGTATGCATAACAATAGCATAAACGTGGTAGTTCTCGGAAAATCAACTTTTTGTGGCTTTTTTTTTTCTTTACTGATTATGCGAAGTTTAACCAGACCTGGGCAGTATTATATATATGTATATGATCGTTGATTTCCACCATTGTAAGCATCACAGGTTGACTAACTCTGTTGTTTGTACATCGTTCGGCAGCTTGCGTCATCCGCGATTGCAGCTCTTTATTTAACTGACGAATTGGATCGTAGTAGCAGTATTACAAACGTCTCCCACAAGTAATTTGCTAGTCGCTTATTAAGTTGCAATGGAAAAAAAAAACGGAGTTCCCGGCAGATTCCCGTGGACAACATTTTATGTGCTGTCATTTTTCGCATGCGCGCTTATATTCGTTTTTTATGAGGATACCATTTCCAAACTGAACTTGGTGCCAACAAAAAATTGCTCTATTTTCGCGCTGTAGAGTATAAATAAGGTCGTTAGTATTGTTGCTTGCCGCAGATAGAGAATGAGCTAGTTTCCTATCGGTAGAAGAACGCCATTGAGGATGTTCCGCTTTGGTCAGCGCCACGGGCCTTCAATGTCCTCCCACTGTTCGTGGTCGAACGTTATCATTACAATGAATCGAAGTCTGCTTTCGGGCTTTCTCTTAACATATACACTCATTCATCTGTATTTTGTCAAAGGTCTGTTGTTGTTGTTGTTGTCGTCTGCGTGAAAAATGTTCCTTGTTCGAAATTATTATTAGTTCATGTTGCGATGCATGCATCAGGTGATATAGCTCGCAAAATACCTTATTCGATACGCGTATTATGTTGCTTCGTTTCTTTTTTCTCATAGAATTCGTCGTTAGTTAATCGGCCAACGTAGCTGCGTTGGTGCTGTCGTCTACGGCACTGATACTATAGTGAACATTTTGATTTTCAATGATAACACATCACGGATATTATTGTCTTGTCTGTATATTCGTAAAATGTATGTTTACAATTGGTAATTGTACAGTATAATAGAAGAATCAGAGAAGCTCGATCATTCTTGTTACTGTTACAATCAAAGGATCTACATAAGTGGCGTCATTGCTGTCAACGGACAACCGGACATTGCTAAGTACAGTAAAACTTCGTTGTGTCTAGAAACAGATTAAAGGAAGCGGCCAGGATGTAGGCGTTAATGTTACACAACTTCAACAAGAGTGTTTGGGAAAATGATTATGAATAGCATCACTCACGCAGATAACACAACTTTCTCCTCTATTTTTTTTTTCTTTGTTGCATGCGCCTTTATTTATGCGCTACTTACTACTATATGTAGAGCGAAGTTTTCCAGTACTTCAAAAACAGGTGATTGATCACTGCGCCCTTTGACTAGTTATATGGCAGCCAGTTGTGACCATGTTGTAAAGCTGTGCCTAGTCACCACTGGAAAGAAGCGCGGTATTATCAACCCGGTACTATCGTACACGTGTAGAAGGCGGAACAAAACACTGAATCCTTCTAGAGATACATAATATTGTTTATCACCTTGTAGTCCTCGTGTTTGAATCCCATGCTCATCCCCAAAACCCCTACACGACCAAAGTCTACCCGCTAGAGTACGCCTCTGCTGTGCACGCATGTACACCAAGACACACCCGTGCGCTTACTCTTCGCTATCTCTAACTTTCCCCCTCAATCAACTTGGGCATTCGCACAATTAGTTCATCATTATTATCGACATTATCATTATCGTAGACATATTATAAAAACTGCCATTAGTTATCAATAAATTGAAATCTTCTGAGAAGAAGTTCATTGGGGTGTTTTTTTTCTTTTTAATATCATCAATTCACATCACAATCCACAGCGGAACACGACTTTCTGTTACTTGCTCTTTCCCATACTGTTACATATGGTGAATAGGAAGTACGCACTATACAGGCTATGCTACATACTATATATATATATCTATATACATGTATATATATTTATATGACTAGATCTGTGGTTTTGTCGCTTCATACCAATAGAAATTTTCCCATATCGTATTACTATGCTATTTAACTCGTTGTCTGATCACATCGCCTCTAGTTTGCGACGGTCCTAAAATCTACAAGTCGATTTCTATCGCTCCCTTACAGGGCTATACGTATTACCTTCGTAGGACAGCTTTGAGCGAAAAATAGTTTAAAGCTTTGCGCTTAATTTCTCTGTATTGCCGTTGTAACGGCCTAATTCCGGACTGTCAAGTGGACATGCTGAGAATATCATTCTGAGTATTCTAAATATCACTGAGTTTCAACATTAAAGCAGCTTGTTTTCTATTTGTTGCTCTTCATAGTGTTTTTATGAGACGACACCTTTTTTATGAGATATTTGCTCGCATTGAAGGTGAATTTGTTGGGAACAACTTGCCTATCGTAATCACATAATTAACTGCCTCATTTTGCAGTTAGCTATACTTAGAATTACTATCGTTAATATTGTTGTTTATGATTATGGTATTATGTATGTATATGTAATCATATATATTTTTCATATATAATAATCATTTTGGTTTGTTTGTACTTCAAATGTAAACGCTGATCCTCTTTCTTTCGGCTTAGGAGGATGGCTCTTCACATTTTGTATTATTATTATTATTTCATTCATCTAATGTTTCGCTTGAGCCTCTGCCTGCGTTCGAAGCAGTAATCCCATAATGCCCTATATCAATAATATGCACACCCAAGTAACCCAAGGTTATTTTTTCTTGTTCAACACTCATGGATCCATCGCTTGATCCATATGGATTCTAACTATGTCGTTTCGATTAAGTATAGTACCGCCTCGTCGTTTCTAAAGTGGATAATTAGTTATAGAGATAAACAAGATGATCTCCAACAGTATTTCATAATGGTCACCGTAGTATGGCGCTTTCAATCATCATATACTCACATCCTATCCTCTATAGCTTGATCTGTTGGCGGTAGAACATCGTCCATCACTTTCCGTTATGTATCCCCCTATTACGGGTATAATAGGAGAATACAGGGTACATGTATTTATGTATATATTGTTTTTAGTACAATTCAAGTATTTTGGTTTGTTAGAAGAACGCTGCTACATCAGACGAGCGTATTTCCGCTGAGTCTCTAAACTGTGTGTTTAGATCGAGGCTTTTTGGGGCCTAGGCCAACATAAACCGAAGGTCCTGATATTCATGCGCCTTAATTGGCATGCTAACCTCATGTAGGCTATGATGCGAAAGTAGTATATTAAATGGATCAAGTTGGTGCAATAGGTTCAGGCTGCGAAACTTGTGCTACTACTTTGGCCATTTTGGATTCAATTCGTAGGTATTGTTACTAGCTATTCGAATGCTAGTGGTTTGGGCACATTTCGAAATTACGATCCAAATCATCTGCAATAACACCTCAAGCTTCGAATAGGTGCATGCGTACTTTCACACTTTGAATACACATAATTTATGTTTGTGTGTATTGTATGTGCTTGATGCCATTTTTTTTTTAAAGTAAATCGTTCCCCCCCAAACGTGTGAATTTATCAAGACCTACTCGCCAATGCTAGGCGACAATATACAACAATACGACAATATATCGCCAATATACAAAGCAGACGATCTCATGAGGAAAATTCAACCGAAAATGTTAATCATTAACTTCGAATCAATATGGCGTTGGTTAACTGTTAATCAGACACACTTCGCGCGAAACATGTGGCTAACCACAAGAAACTGTCCTTCACATGAGTGCTATACATCTGACAATTCGTTGATGATCTTGATATATAAGCCGCTCTATAACTATTCCGTATAATATTGCTAAAAACAGTCGATCAACTAACGACTGTCGCTTTTTGAGACGCACAACGAGCTTCACTTGACGTTTTCTTGGCTCTCGATTATCTCAAAACTCATTACAATAATAACTCGTGTCATTTGATAGTAACTATGTAACGTCAACAGTTTCTCACGGAAGACCTAACAGTGAAATAATATGTTACGCTTAGTTGTAGCTACTTCGATACCTCCATGTTTTGTCTTTTCGATTTGCGGCATTAACTTGCGGGCTTGACGAAAGCTAGATTTTTGTCATGCAGTCGAGCTAACTCATCTCACGAGGCGACCTTAACAATTCTATACGCCATTAGATTGCTTGTATATAATTTTATAGGTCTGTTGTATATTATTTCGGTTATTATTATTGTGACTTCTAACGGAGAAAGTTAGAACATGACTTAAAAACGTTTGTCGTGCGTCCCGCCGTACGAAGGCCGTATAAGCTTTTCTATAATGATAAGTTATTATATTTTACCCATTTTTCAAGCTCGTTCTTCATCATATCATTTGACCATCATCATTTTGATTAATAGCAGGAAAATTGCAATGCCGAAAACAATAATCAATCACTTATAACGTTAGTTGAATGTAGATTATCAAGTCGGCGCAATATTTGACCAAAAATAACGATTCGTGTTCGTTTGTTAATTCTTTTAGTTTCTTCTTTTTATCATCACGCATTCCCCAAGCGACGAAATACACAGGCACAACTGTTTGCCCCCCAAGTTTAGGCCCCGTCACCAAAATGCATTCCCAGAACCCCTTTGCGTTTATTGTTATTTTTTATTTATTATCCCATTATTTTTTATCACTGATGTAAGACATTTTCTTGTCTTATTTATTACTTATCCTTAGCTACAGCCACTCCTAACAGTATATGTAAACAGTTACTTCTACGCCGGCTTTACATCATCGTTATCATAAATTGTCGTCTTCGTCGTTCTTTATTGTCAAAGGCCTCGTGTTGTTATGGCCGATATCTAGTGGTTCAGATATCTGTCTTTTATTTTTCACTTATTATTCAACGTTTACGTTTAACTTTAGCATTGTAATATTAGAACTACTAGATAGTGCCCTCGGCTTTCCACCATCATTACCAATGTTAGTATCGTTACCGTCCTAACACGTAACGGAGCCTATAGAATTATTCTTACTATGGGCCATTAAAAAATAGTATATTACAGTACTATGATAACACTGAAATACACTCTTCTCTTTTATGCATTCTCCTCTCATCATATCCACAATAGTTTCCCATTGCAATGGTGGCATGCCTTTCTATGACCTCATTGAAACAGATCATTCATTCCATACGAAAACACAAGACGTGCTAACTTCCAATATCTTGTACGTATATACAGAATTGCCTTTACACATATGCTCACAATGTGGTGTTCCCGCGCCCCAACCCAAAGCTCGATGACCATCCAAAAGGAACGATTATAGCTTCAATAGCGCTTTATATATATATATATATATATATATATATATATATATATATATATATAAGTCGTTTACCATTGCGTGGTTAATAATTATTACCGTAATATTATAAACTTAATTGCTTGAAGCGCATTACCGGTCACAACTGTGGAACTGTTCGGGGAGATCGAGAACATCTCATTCTTATTTCCTTAGGTCCTGTCAAATAGAACGTAGTGCCAGATTTGTTGTTTTGCCAAACGAATTTCGTTCATAATTTGCCGTTAAAAAAGGGGGAACGGTGATATAGTTCTTTTGCGTTGACATCTGCGTTTTGACAAATGCAAGTGTAAGCCGTTAACTAAGCCACTTACAACGTAGTTAGTTCACTACCGCTAATATTAATGTTATTATTTCGATAATTATTGTTGCTATTATTATAATAATGTTGAGCCTGAGATGAGGCAAAAGGATAAGCGGCATCCTCAGCCCCGTCCGTCCCCACATTTTGTAATACGGCAGCATAGTAGTCTCGATGCGATCGTCCAATGACTGACTTCTTCGCCTTTTCACTCCTTATCTCTATGCGTAAATACGACCGTGACCCATGTGTTTGTAATGCCTCAATCTCTTCGTCCTAGTATTTTGCCTTTTCGGATGCCCCTTTGTTTCACGATGGTGGCCATCGCATCACTGAAACGTGCCTATCCATTTGTTCGTGTCAACGATTAGAGACCATACTTTCGTTACTGCTGTACGTGGTCCCATTTGCTTGTCCACCTTACACGTGCGCGTATCATTATTAGACATCTCCATCAATATGCCCCTTCAAATTTTGGCGCCAGTTGAAGGAAACCTAGCATAATAACGCTGACATAAAGAACCCCCACCGCCACGACGACTAAACGAAAACAGTTTCTTGCCAAAGAATAGACAGTTTTTGAGGCCTTGTGTGTACAGCATAAAGCACCGCAGCTGGGAATGAAAGGTCAGCGTCACTGTGTTGAGACGCGATGACTGTGTGTGGTCATGCATCTTTTCGTTAGTGTATACTTCTTTAGTTGTTTACGCGTAATCTATCTAAATGAATAGGTGATTCGTTTATACGTGACAACGGCGTTATGCGCTCTGTTGGATTTGAACTAAACGGCATCAGTAAGGACCATTCCGTTGGCTGACGGTGGGATTACGTCGGGAGGATCTGCAACAAAAACAATTCAAGGTTAGCGTCACCTTTCGCGAGACCGTAAGAGAAAGTGAGCTACAGACAGTTGTCTATAGCTCACAACGAAAAATACGTTATAAATAAACCAGTATCTACGAGACGAATTCAGTGTTCTCCCTACAGGACATGTTTTATAAAACAATACGCTCCAAGTATTGCACGCTACAAATAGTGAGCAACAGATTAAGTATCAGCAGGTGCTAACATAAAACACACACAAATAATCGATCGTTTATGCATTTCAAACCCTTAACGTCAGTATGTGCCCAATCTTAAATATGATTCTCACTTCCTTTTTCTTGCCAAAATCGTCCTGGCACCCACCGACCTGCAGCGGAAGTGACGTGGGTGCTCGGGTTGTTTGTAATATTTGGTGTTGTTAAGTTGAGTATTTGTGACTGCTGCTGCTGTTGTCGTTGTTGTAGTGAACGTTGTGGATTGGTGGCGGCGACACTGTCGGCTTCGGCCTGCTGCTGAAAAATGCCGGTAGATGTAAGACTGGGACCACTTCCTTCTACTCCGGGTGGTTGTAGCAATGTCGTAGTCGTACGTAATGGTTGTGTAGTGACTGCCTCTCCTATTTGGCCTCCTCGTGCCCCCTCCGAGACGGTGACGCCGCCCCCCTGTTGTCGACTGTGCAGCATGCGCATATGCCTCGCGCGCAGTTCTTTCGGGTAAGGGGTGGGTGATCGCACAAGCTTCGCCCCAGCCTTGCCCAGCGAATCGCCGAGGAACTGAATGCGGCCCTCCTTTTCGTGATCCATCATATCCGGCGTTTGCCTAAAACAATAAGAAAAGAGGCATGAACGCAGGTTAGCGAAAAAAAAGTAGGAAGAACCTGGATGGGTAAGAAGGTTAACACGAACACGATCAGATTCCTCCTTCATAGGTCATTCAAATGGTAGTACCACGGGCGATAACACTTCATCTGGAATATGAGCGCTGAAGTGCCGCAATATCGATTAGCTCCTTTCCATTAAGTAAGTAGTCACTTTCCAAATAACTATGACCCGTTTTAGGTGTGCTGTCAATCGTACAGTACATTTATAGGAAAATATAGGAGTTGTCGACGTCATGAACAAAATCTTGAACCAAAAAATACATATATTCCGCGTTTACAGCTTCTCAGACGAAGCAAATCTACACGTGGTTACATAGGAATCATGTGACAATTGTTCAGTGATCATTAACTAGTTTTTTTGTAGTTATTAGTTGCCCATTGGCAAATTCACACGCCCCACTAGTGTCTTGTACGCCCTATTATTACCGTTCGCCAGTGGTGTAGTGTCCGTCTTCTTGCGGTAGGAGGTAACATGTGAGTCTCCTTTGGCCGGCAGCCTCGTCCGCCTGCAGGAGAATCAGCGGCTTCGTCTGGTTCTCCGAAAGCCACAACGCGTCCAGAGACGTAAGTCGCGTCAGGGATGCCGGCAAAAATCTGCAAGTCATTTTAACCACCGTGCACGCACAACCAAGTTCTTCTCACATTAGAAAGCCGCCTCACAACAGCGCACCTACAATGCCTTTACGCATTCGACTATAGTTCACTAACTCATTAGCTTAATGTAAATGCTTAGAAAACTAACTAACGAATCGTATTTGATATTTAGATGTTAACAGAAGTGATTTTCTACGATAATTAGGTTATCTTTAATTATTCTTCAGCGCCCTACGTGTAGTTGCGACGTAAATATCACACTGTGTAGTGCAGACAATGTATACGGTAAGTCAACAGCTAGTGCAGACCCAGCTGGTCGTTCTCAACGGAATCGAATTGGTGCTCGGCAAACGTTTCGGCAACATTTAGGTTTATGGCCGAGTTGATGTCTAATAGCATCGAGAGGATTGAATGGAAAAATGTCAAACAAACTGATATATTAACATCTTTTACACTAGATTCCCTCGTTCACTAAATGCAATTAGTCCATATGAAGATCTTTGTTGATTGCCCTATTTCTCTCAAACAGTCTTAGCGTTTTTCAAGTCCTACGCAATCCAAATTGTCGTCTTTATCGGATGGAGGTTCAACCCAACTCTAGGCCACAAAACATCTTTCGGAGCAAATCGTTCGTCTTCTCGTTACCTGTGCGAGCTCTGTACAGAAACCTATCATTTGAATATGCATTGCCCCGTGGCGGACGAAATACCAAGGGTCAGCAAGCTTTGTTTCCTTGAGAACTTTGCCCAGTCTACGGGGCAGCTAGGCTTCCAATTTCAGATAAAATAACCTGCATTTAAAATGCTTGGTAATAGTTTGGCTTATCGGACTTGGATAACCGACCGGATCAAGATACACCCTCCAATTTCATATAAAACTTAGCAGACCTCTTCTAGCATTCCCTTTTCTGCACGAGCTTTCACTTTTGTACCCGGCATAAATACTCCAACCTGCTTCGGCAGCCTTTGGCGTCGATAAAAAGAAAAATGAAGTACGTATGGGAAAATGCACTTTTTTTTTTAACCTAGAGCTTTCACCTTTAGGGCCTTGACATAAGGATACGTTCACTGCACTAGAAAGTTTTTTCTTTCCTTCTTTTTTTTTTCCGTTCTAATAATATATATACTGGAAACGGACAATGGTCAGCTAAATGAGAGAGGGAACATTGAAAGCAACATAAATTACTTCTACTTCAACTTTTTTTTTGAAAGTGTTTGACTTTCATATTCCTGTCTGCACTTCCCTTTTGTACTCGATATACTGTTTAGCGCAAAAAGAGCCATATGAAAGAACCCATGAGTAGTATATTATAAATCGCAGCGCTGTTTGGCTCTATCAACAAGACTAACAAAGAGAAAAAAAACGTAACACGAGCAGCACGATTAAAAGCTAAGCTATTGGCATTATCCTAGCAGACATACATACATAAGCGGGCAACAGCGTCCGATGACCACTTCGATGTCGTAATATCAGTAACAGAGTCTAGGGTCACACAAACCATTTCCGGTTAGCGACCAGCTAGCTTCTACCGAGTCACCACAAAAATTAGAACTTAACACGCTACATACTTAAAATTGAACGCGCAATGGATGTACATGTAGCAGCACACAGATAATCACGTTGCTATAGCGGCGGTGCCATTTCCATTAAGTGAATAATGGATGACACCAAAATCGCTGTTAGTAGCAGTGCTACAAAGTGCAAAACCTAAATACCGCATATATACACACATATATATATATATGGTAGCCTCATATGTCGCAACTGTGGTAAAGCTAAATTAAGACTTTTTCCTGATTGAATATCTTGGACATAGTGTGTGTCGTCGGCAGCATATCCAGTCACGCCACGGCGACTTAATGGTCCTCAGAACGGACGTGCCCTCTGGCTTTACGTAACACATTAGATGATGATTTGATATTTAGTTGTATGAATATATAAGTATCCATACAAGAGGTTGCGTTGAGGGTTGAATCCTTCGCAAAAAACGTTTTGTGTAGTAATTAAAGTGACTGTAGAGGAACGACGGGATGACAAAACGCCCTGTTAGTTTATATCCGCTTCGCTAGTACGTTTAAAAGAAAGGAAACCATCTATGTGCATTGTTCCAAATATATATATATATATATATATATATATATATATATATATATATTATTAATTATTATATATATATATATCTATAATAATTACAGTATGTCTATAATATATCGTTGCTGTTGGTAATTAATTAAATGACCGCTGTAAAAGTTTGCAGGCGCTCCTTTGAAAAGGACCGACTTTGTGCCGATGAACACAGAGATTACTATCATACGTACTCGTAGCTGAACGGGACGAGGGTAGTCTCATAGGTTTAATTTTCGTAAATAGGCTCTGTGTGTTTTTGCCACTAGTTGTGTTTTGTCTTCCATAAAATTCGTTTTTATTAAATTGCATAAATTTGCATGCGTAGACCTATTCAACAGTGGATAATCAAATAGTATGTCATAATACTAACCGTACCTCAATCTGTTAGCTGAAAGGCTGAGAACCTTGAGGTTGGTAAGGTGACCCAGCTCTTCTGGCAAATCCACAAGCCGGTTGTCTCGTGCAGAAAGAACTTTGAGCGCTGAACAGGAACCGATCTCCGAAGGAAGCTCATCTAGCCAATTGGAATCCGCCATTAGAAGTGACAGCTGCCGAAGACATCCGATTGTTGCTGCAAAATTGTCCCCATTAGATTATCGCTTACCCAGGTGAGGTCTTCTTTTCATAAACAGGGGATACCTACAATGATTCAAGCTTTGTTGAATATAAAGCTGAAGCTACTGTTAGACGAAGTTGCTAGTCGGAGTGAAAGTAAGTTGAATGACAAATTTACCATAGCTGTCAAGCTAATGTAAAGTAATACGATATCTCGCAGAAGTAACTAGAAATTCTGTTCCTCTATCTTCTACCTGGCAAGTATTCGATGTGGTTTCCATTGACTATTAGCTCTTCGAGTTGTGAGCAAAAACCAAGCGAGTCCGGGAGTCCCATAAGCTGGTTATCATCGGCGCGTAATGTTGTCAAATGGGTCAGCTTCCCTAGGGTGTCTGGTAGCCGTGTCAACCGATTTGACGATATCGTTAAATCCGCCAGCTGTGAAAGGTTCCTGAAGGCCTCGTCCTGAAAGACATCGAAAACTTTTATTAGTAGTGTCGTACGCATGAAGAGAAGTGAAGCGAGATCTGCGATATTACCAAACGTGCGTAGTCATATAATATCGGTAAGTAACAAACCTCTATGCATGATAATCTGTTAGATGAAGCATCGAGGTATCGAAGTGCCTGAAGGTGGCCGATAAATGAAGGCAAATACGACAGACGGTTGTTGTCGCACCAGAGTTCCATCAACGATGCCAGCGATCCGATCACCTCGGGCTGTTGACGGTAATAGCAGCAATGTAGAGTGTTAAGTTTGCGATGCACATGGACAGAAGATACGTGTGAATGACTAACTCAGGTCCTGCTCGGTAAATGAACTGTATATTTATAAGAAATGTTATTACAGAATATCTTGTCTGTTCTCTGTATCGTGTAATAATATATTTGGAATATTATTGAGGAAAATATGTGCATGTACTTCTGCAATGTAGCGACAAACGTTTTTAAAGCCGCTTGAATGTACCAGGCAATGACGAAGAGGAGGAGCAATACGGTTGGTTAGTGGATGTTCTAAGCAATTAAATATCATGTAACTAGACCATTTAATCAATAAAAGGCAAAAAAATTCAATCAATTTTAGCTGGAGCACTTCTGTTACTCTCACAACTAACAAGAAGTCAAAGAAGCGTATTTTAGTTGTGTTCAAGACCTGGCAGTTGCCTATACAGAAGCTCACGCTCTTCCGATCAACGGATAACTTAATGACTTTATAAGACTATCCCCGTGTTCATAGCTAACGATAGCTCGAAAGCGCAAACAGAACAGTAGGGTGCTTCCGGAACTAGGATTTGCCATGGGGTTCCGCCACACACAAAATATATTGAACGTTCCAGTTCCATGTGAATGATTAGTAACTGCAACTAGAACTATCTATTTCTTCCGACTTACCAAGCCTTTTGTTTTTCGATGATTTGTTTACGTTGTATCTAATACGCCGTTACAGCTGTTATAGTAACGGCCTACCCAGTTATTATGCAATTGTCCAAATATCCCCTAATGAACTAGAAATTGTATAGGATACTCTAGCGAACCCGTTCGTCTAAATTGCAACAGGGATTCAACGACCAAGTTGCGAAACACGTGGATGTGCCAGGAGCTGGCCCTTAGGACTTGTATCGATTATCAGGACGCCATGCGGCTTCCATTGGATTAGCAAAAGTCGCGGCCCCGAATTGTTTTTGATATTTAACTGATCAATTATTGTTCTACTTCAGGCCGAATTGTCTCCCGTCCCGGTGTTTTCACGAAATAGAATTGATGTAAGGGTTTTTTTGACGAGACAATTTAGCTGAGGTGGATGGTGCCAAGTCCGTTCGCTCTTTACTGTAGTAGGCGGAACAATGCTACCTGTATGATCATAGCGCTCGATGATATTGTACGCACATAATGATAACACAAAGCGATAACGTGCAGTAAGACAAATCTCTGCTAGTTTTTTCAGGCGAGAGCAGTGTGAAAATACCGAGCGGACGTTCGGAAAGCAACTGATCGTAGACCTGTTAGAAAGATGACACTATATTATATATCAGATTGCGGTCTGAACTAAGAAAGTCATCTGAATTGGTTTGAACTATCTGGTTTTCTCATAAAATTAACTGATCACACGGTTGCTATAATGTTGCCAGTCAGATCTATTGGTTTACGATTGCTGCCTTTGTGTATTCTACAGATATGACGTTTTATTTTAATATTTATATAGCAAACTGTTTAGACTGTTTATTAATCACAAACACTATAGGTTTTCAAGAAAATGAATTAATGTTATTATAGGCTTCTCAAGTAGCTGACATTAAAGCTGCCAAACGCTAACCCTAGCACAAATTTCCACCATAACAAAATAACAGATTCCGTCAACATGGAAAGGAATTAAACTTCACAACATAGTGGTAGTAATTTGGTGGAACAAGAAGGAGTGACAAAACAGATGTTTCTGTTCATTTCAGTCTATTTGACACTTCCCCAGCTCAAACAGGCATTTTTCCTATTGAAGGTATCGACACTTCTTGTATGCTAGTCCGATTAAAATTACCGATTTTTAAAAAATACTATTTTATAATTAAACATAGGAGACACTGTGATAATGTTTAGATACGTAAACCTTTAAAACCAGAGTAACCGTTAGTAGTAAACATAAACCACTCATCAAATGAGCTATAACACTCAACCCGTTTCAAACTAAAAATGTATCTGTCTTTGCAACATGACATTGACCGCCCGCATAAACGGCACGTTGATTAGAGAAGGCTGTAGTAACTCTAATAAAATGTTGCCTCAGTTGTTCAGACTGCTCGTTCAGAGTATTAAGATTTAATATTAACCATTGAGAAGCTCATGGGACTATTTATCGGTTAGCATACACACTAAACTGAGGGTGGACAAAGGCGGAAGTGCAGTCGAAGCGTAACGGTAGGCGTCCGAGCGTCGACGGCGCTGCTGACGATAAGGCCTGATAATGGGAACTCGCCAGAAGCTCTCTCACTCCCGTTTCTTTTCTTCTCTCCCACCGTCTACCTGAATTCCAGCTGGGAAAGGCGTTAGTTCATCCGTTAGTTTGACAACAGGGTTCACTCTGCTGGATACCGCAGCCGACTGCGCCATCTGACCCCAACCAAAATCTAATCAAAACGGCGAGGAGGGGCGTGCGGGCGGTCGGTCAGGCACCAAAGCCAATTCTTTTGCCAGCTGCCATTCGAAGATTGGGCAGGGACACATGAAAGAGACAGCCCCTCTTATTTGCCTGTTGGACCCAGGCTTCGTCTAACTGCTGCTGGCTCATGTCGCCAGTTAAACAACCCATTTCAGCAAAATCGTGTTGCGAGGCTACCACTGAGGCAGCGTTTTTCTAATATCGTTTTAGCAAGACTCCTATACCTCTTTCCCATCACCCCCTCGCGACTTTTCCTGACATACCCTTTCATCGCTACATCGCCTTACTCATAAGCATCCTAGTTGTCAAACCTTCGCGCGGTCGCTTGCACATTTTAATGTCTGCCTTCGGGCCTTAGCAAATGCAGGCGGAGGACTGGCAAATCTCCCTCATTCCCTGGTTTTGAACTGACTAGGAGAAACCAAGATAGCATTGGAGCAACACTGCTGAGCGGCGTCCTTTTTTGCGCGCGACGTTCATGTGGTAGTGGAAAGTAATACGGCGCTCGTACGTAGAACGCAAGTCGTAACTATTTTACCCATATAAGGGATTGCCGAATTGAGCAAGGTGTGCCAACAAACAAATAGGGAAATTCGAATGGAACAAGTTGGTCAGCCTTGCAGACGCAGTCGAAACGCTACACATCATATAACGCAAGAACGGCCTCATTCAGACTTTTCTTTCCATAGCATTTGCTTTTGCGTAGCTTTCTCGTGGATACGCCGAGAATTGTCGAAAGAAATTGATGTCTTAGTCCTTCCTTGGTGGCCCAGCTGACGTCGATAAAATTCTATCGAACATCGACTTAGAGATACAATTAAAATGCACAGAACAGATGTCTAACTTTGATTTCAATGTCGTCTTGTATAGCTAAACTTTTCAACGAAAAATCCTTTACCAAGTAGCAGCCAGAAGGGTGCAACGTATGACACATATTTGCCCGTGGAGCTTATTTTGAAAATATTACCCGAAATATATTTCTCCCGACGATTATGTTTGTCATTTTCACTTCTTATCGTTGATCAATGTCATCGATCAATGACACTAGCATGCTCCTTATTTACAGCTTTATTATGTATGTATATATGCGATGACTATGGACGCTGGTAGTCCTTTATCAGCTTACTGGAATCCCTAACAGGACAGTGAGACGGGTGTTGTACTCTCACCAGCAAGCCGAATGCTGCTTCCATTCCGAAAAACAAAATGAACGATTTGGGTGCAGCATGAATGTGAGCAATACCTTTCGTTAATTGCGCCTCACGAAAACAAAGACAACTCGCTAACCAATACAGATGGTAGAAGGTACGTGCGATTTACGTTAGATTTCAGTGACAGCGAGAAAATAGGCGTCTAAGTGCTATTTAGATAATCATTTGAACGAGTGGGCAAAGCTCATGGTTCGATTTGCCTTACGACAGAGCCGAAGAGGCGGGAGCTCGCTTGACGTGATCTTGAAGTTCATTTACTCAAATTGGGTGTAGACGTGACGAAAACCATGCCCTCACGAGAGTCCAGCTATTACGATCGTCATCATCAGCGCTTAGTACAGAACCGTAGTCAGACAATGTTGTTTTTGATTTGATGTATCGTCCTTTAGACTAACGTTTATAGTTGAGCTTGAGAAAAAGCTTATTCAATATGCGAATTTAATATAATTGCCATAGCGGAATAGTGCAGACAAATGCAGACCTGGTCATGATTATAACCTGCGATTTGCTTATATCATTCCAGTGTCAGATTCATTCGAACAAAAAACACTTCCTGACCATGTTAAAAATGACATGTTCGAGACGGCGCGGTTTCGTCACGCTTACCTGAATAGGACGTTCGATTCGTTTCTACTTGCCAGGATCTGTATTGTATCTGCCACAACTACTTTATATAACCAAACTAAAACACTTACGGGATGTGCATGGTACATTGCGACGATAAAAATCTGTGATCAGTAAATCTCGTTATAGGATACATTATATAGAAGCTGCAATTTGGCTATATTCGGGTTTGCTAATTACTTCTAGATAGCTTTGGCCGCAGAGACGACACGTATAGTAGATATTGCGTAAAATGAACGATGTAACAAGACTTCGTAATTTCGTCATTGTAAAAAAGTTAATGGTAACGGCGATTCAAATCATTTCCTTCACACCTTAGAAGCATATTCGAGTAGTTATTTTCTCTCCCATGCCCCTCGGGGTGTATCTAAACAATTGAAACTACTTAAAATCAAGCCCCCTTGAAAATTATTTGAAGAAAAGATCGAGATATTCCAATCTGTAGGAGCTTTTTATTTTACAGAACTGTAATCGCAGATGGACAATTTAGAAGTTCAACAACGTTCACTTGCTTTCATAGTCAGTCATTTATAGACAATCACAATGGTTACAAAATTCTCACGTGGTGGTCTCTCATGAGAACTCCTTCCGTCAACTGAATAGCGGCTTGGCAAATTTAGTTCAGGAATATTACAAACAAATTGTTTCCACACTCTTGGAAATAACGGAGTCACAGAAAACTACGTTTAGCAAAACCGATATATAGTAAAGCTCTATCAATTACAAGGATCTGCGTCTCACGGCTACAATCGTTTCTTAGCTTCAAAATGGCTCTGTTTAAGATACTAGAAAGCAATAAATCATTTAAAAAATCAGCGAAATATGTATAATAGGGATGATGATGAGGGAACTACGCTACTGTCTCGTTAGTCAAACGCCCATAGACTAACACCGTCGACTGTGAAGAAATAATTGAGAGAGAAGCTTACATAATGTACGTGTCACGGCTTTATCAATCAGGGTGATATGACGAACACAAAAAAACGCTGTGGACCAAGTCGAAGACATCCGGGTCGTTCATGCTATCTACAACGTATGATAAATCTCCGGTAATCACTGTTGATACAGAACGAAACCGGCATTCAAATTTAGCACTAAGGCGCTAGATAGAGCTTCAGATACTGCAAAATACTTGTCGTTTCAGACGCTCAAATAACTATACACTTACTAAATATTAACCTTGGGTGTATTTTCTTTTGAACATGATTTTTTTTTACCACTAAACATGTTACAGACGTCGAGATTGGCTTACCATGTCGACGAAATCATTCTGACCGACGTCTAGACGGACGAGTTGCGTAAGACGTGCCATGGACTTTGGCAGCGTCTTAAGATGATTCTCCCGTAATTCTAGGATTCGCAACTTGGCTAGCCATCCGAGATTTGCTGGGAGAAACTCGAGCAGGGTGTCATTCAAATAGAGCTCCTCAAGATTGACGAGCTGTGTAAAGCTTTCCGGCAGCTTTGAGATTGGGTTTACTGATGCATCAACCGAGGTCAGAAGCTTGCCTGTAGATGTATAGCAAATAAAACGCAACACGACTACAGTGACTCGGGGTTACAAAACAGAGAATCATAGAAGTCTGTGACGCTATAAATTGACGACTTTACAACCATATGTATGTTCTCAAAGCGAAAAACACACACACATACACATATTCAGTAGCAGTATAAACTTCATTTAGGCTTGACTGAAATTTTTCAAGCGCGATTTAGGCGATTATAACATACGGAGGGTGAAAATGCCTCGACCGTTCTAAATGACGTTCATTGCGGGAACCCGCAGGTACGAAAAATTGAAACTTCTAGTTGCTTTTGGGAATTCATATGAAACGACTCTTGAAGGATCGGTAAAATATACGCTTTGGCAGCGTGTAAGACACTGACAAATCTTCCAGTGTTGTTGTCATTAGCATAGGCTTCTATAGAGCAATTCTGTGGCAAGATAAAAGAAAACCCGAACAGATATTAACAAAACAAATAATCATTACTACCTTACTGGACTTTGTCTGAATATATATATTCTCAGCTACTCAGAATTCGTTTCTGATATAACCTAGATCACAAAAATCAATACCTATGAGCCCCTTTTTTGTTTTTAAATAATTATCCCAAAATGGAGAAAAACGTCTAACATAGAACGTGTTGAAGCCTGAACCAAAAAGATTTTAAGGTTGTCTGTTGCAATTTCCGGTTGACGGGGATGATGCGGAATAGTTGTGTTAACTTTGAACGTTTTCGAAACTACGTAAAAGACAGTCTAAAAGTTTCCGTTTCGCATTTCGGTTGTATGCATTTAAATATATAAATCCTACATCTTGTTTAGCGCGTGTCAACACAGTTGCACGCACCATAATAGAAAAATCTCTCATTTTTAGCAGAAACAACTTCAGCTGACCAACTTTATAGAGGCGTTTCATCATTTGCAAATCCACGCTTAACATTGATGAGGTTCTATTCACACGGTTAATGTGAACAGCATGCCTTGTTCGGATTAGCAGCTGCAGGCTAGTTGGCCTCGTACTAGCGAAGTACGAGTGAAGCAACCGATGTCCAAACCAATAGCGGGACAGAAACAGCTTCTTTATATCCAAATAATATATGCCACGTACCTAGCTATTTGATAGAGTAAAATCAATTTACTTATGAATTTGAGATGCTGCTGCATGTCAGATGAATTTGTTAACAAGTCAAACGCTCTTCTCTGTTCATATGAGCCAATCTCGCTATCGTAAATGGATAACATGTGATGGAGTTATTCCGATTTGTTGATAAGTTATGTTACTTTCGCTGACGTCTCTGACTGATCGGCCAGGAGTCAGCTTAACCGGCTGTCCGTACGCTCCTCTTCCTGCACTGGCTGAATGAAATCCCGGAACATAGATCACTTGTGGCCGGCTTGGTGGCCCCTGGCTGACAATCATCGTGCGTGCACGTACCTGCAGCTGCCATAATGTTGTGCATTGAGACAGACACTTCTTGTGGCACTAACAGTAACAACTGCCTGAAACGGCCGAGGGTATCGGCAAAACCTGAGCCACAAGCAGCGTTACTTGTCTAACACCTTTTACGCATTTTTAATGTGTCACATCTATGTAGAGTGTACTGACTCTTGTTAGACTCACTGCCGCTACGACTGCTAACCAGCCACCTGCATCACTCCCTGATGTCGGACATATGCCGTACAATCTGACCGACTTTGCGCGATAATATTTAGATAGTCCCCTAGCCAACGCGCTACAGACTTTAGGCGTATGGAATCTAGGCTAAAGAAAGCCTCGCTTTGCCATGTAAGTCCTCCTTCTCCCCTTCAGATTCTAGATCCTGTCTTCTGCCAGCAGGTACATTGAGGCTCTTGGAAAGCTCCTCCAGCTTCACTGAAGCGAAGGCAGCAACGTCGACGAGAGCCTGCGTCCCAAAACATCGTGGCGGTGAAGACTGACTAACAATATGAATTGTGAGAAACAGCAGAGCAGAGGCAGGTTCGTCCTGCTGCAGTCATCCAAAAAGGACGTTAAGCGGTACTTGGCCCTCCTCAAGACGACGAGTATCTCGCTAGCAATTTATGACCTTACTGTCTCTCCCACTCCAGTTATGCCCACCTTCCACAGCGGTGATAGAGGCGATATCGTCCAGGAGACCTTCTTGTAGTTCTTAAATCCTGACGGCCTGCGGAATGATCCTATTCAGACGAACAAGTTAAATGAGAAAAAAAAACGAAAGAATGTGGAATAAAGAAAAGAGAACAGGTAAGGTTCAAAGAGTAAAGGGAATGATGTGGAAGTAATGTAGAAAGAAAAAAAAGGAACAGACTTCTTTCATCTTAGTACGTAACAGTGTGGTTACTGTCAGTTCCATTCAAGCATTAGCCTTTACCGGTTCGGTTGCACGGCGGTTTCGCTCCATCGCCTTAACATCAGTCGACCCGGTATCGTGTTCGAATTCTTCTTTCGTCGCTGCCATCATATGGCAGCCATACACCAACGAAAGGGGTTGTCCACCACGGTCTTGCACGACGCTTTACCCCCTGTTCCCCTTGTTTGTTTTCCGCTGCCGAGCAAAGAACAGAAACTCTGACTGTTAGCAATGCAGTCGGCGGATTAAAATTAAGTTTGCGATGGCGACGACGGTTCGGCGGTAGCATCAACGGGAGCAGCATTGGCGTCCTGTGTTCACTGCTGCTACCGGGAGTTACCTGGCAGACTGGACAAACGGGCGTTAAGCCGATAGCTTCCTGCTTTGCTTTTACCCCGTGCCGCGGCACAAATCATGTAGAGTGCATGCCGTTTTGAAAAACTTGGTATTGCCGCTGCAAACCTACGCCGTGTGTCCAGCGCTTCGCACCGGCAGCTCCCTAGCCTAATGGTCCAAAGTCCGAGACTACCCCTAACTGGTTTTCTCTCCTACTGTTCCCGTTCGCCAACACCTGCAACAATCCACCTGAGTTCTTGCCCGCCCGCCGGCTCCAGAAGCAGCAAAAAAAAACCCAGACCTCTGCTTTGCGACCAACGTTTCAAAGAACAGTAACAAAAGCAAGAGTAGAGGCGAACGAACCTGACAAGTTCAACCGGTTCCGGCTCCTCTATACGACAATGTTAGTGTCAGTTGTCAAAACTAATGCTAGGGATGGCTACGGCTACACCCCAAGAGATGGCGGTCGGAATTTTTGATCGTGCGCCTCTGAGGAAATTTTGTTAAGGTTGTTTGACTTTTCGCCTGTTTGGTCCATTCTGCTCCAACCCGAGTTCCCATTTCTTCTATTTTCGTTACCAGCTAACTCAGCCACACCACTCAACCTTCTTGAGTAGACCAGTCGACCGGTCAGCGGTTACCGCCAAATCACAAATATAGGGAATTTTGAGACGTTCACAACTTAAACCGTCAAAGAGGCCGATTGTCTATAATATTTGTACACGCACATACAAGCATTCGATAGGCAGCGGGTGCCTATCGCCTACCTAGCGGCAACGTTCGCTAAAGGTTCACGAATCTCGCAAGGAAAGTGAAGCTCGAGTGAAACCACACGGATGGACCAACAGCCGATTAACGTTAGCTAAATGTGTCAATTTGATGCGTCCCCTTGTGTCAATTAGCAATACCGGACCCCCGGCCTACCAGCGCTATACATTATATATATATATCTATGCATTTTTTTAAAATTATATTTAATTCACTTCGCTCGTAGTTGAAGTCTTCATACATACAGGTAAGCAATACAATTATACACTATTAGAGAAGGTGTATCAAACTATTTAAAACAGTTTCCATCATTTGGGTTACAAAAGTCTGGTTGAGTTCAAAAAACCAATTTGAGATATTTGCTACATATCCTAGAGATTGCACAGAGGGCCAACGAGCAATGATATCTATTTTAGATGGATCTAGTAGATCTACATGTATCTTCAGGCTCGCAAAAATCTGGTTTCCTGGAGAGTCTATGACGGCACACACACACGGCAAAGCGTGTAGCGACACGTCTGTTTAGCCGATTCGTTCCTATGTACTTGTTGATACTCATAATTTCCACGGCGAAGCAATCTTCATCATTTTCGCGAATTTCTGCTCTCAGTTCCTGAAGTTCGTTTTGAAGGCTCCCGTTGCTGGAAGCTCCAAGCGATGGTGTAGGTCCTCGAACAGCAGTGGTGACTTAGGCCAGCAGGTGCGTGAGACGGTTACGTGTAGTCTTAATGCTTTTTTAAAAAGCAGGCCCTGGCGCGGTTTAATTTTTCGAGGGTCTCCACGGATAGATCTTCACAAACGAGTGTCTGCCATACGTTATGATCGATGCTACCTTAAGATCGCACGAGCTGAGAACGGTGCCGAAGGACAAGCGACGAGGCGATATGATTACTCATGTGTCTAACACCGTTTTCCTGCATCTTTTGGTAGTGTGCGCAGTGAAACTTTTGCCGCTCGTGGAGAAACGTAAATTTAAGTACGGAAGCATATTTGTATACACAAGAAGTGATCTAACTTCTAGTAGCCGCTAGTAGTAAAAGCTAGTAGCCGCCGTTCTGCATCCCTCTTAAAATTTCATCACCTCCGTCTCGGTCAGGTTTACGGTTAGTTCCAAATATGTAAATGCCGTATGAAACTGGGCTTATGAGCCAGGCCGGTTCGGTGTGTAAAGAGCGCGAGTTCGGCCAGTTTGTCATCGATGGTTATTCTATCCTTCTATAAAGTCATAGGGAAAGGTTGAGCAGATTAATAGCGAGACACACCTCGGCCGGCGTGAGCATACCTTTGTCCCCGAGCGCCTACTTAACGGCTATCTCAAAGTCGTCGAACATCACATATGACGGACTGCGCAACGTGGCTACTGCTCCCTTCACGTCGGCCAACAGGATCCTGCACGCCGTCTCTGTGAAGCGTGCTTCCGAAACGTATGTTGCTCCGTTAGGACATGCCGTACGCTTCCTGAGTCCTGTTCAAACGATGAGCCAGCAAGTCGGAGAAGAACTTAGAACAAACACTTTTCTCCCTTATTTGCCGCCATATGACGGCGCAGTTGGATAGCCCTTTCCTTTTGGAATCATTAACAGGGTAACATCTTTATACTGGGTTGGAGTATACCAGTATGTAAACATTTAATAAATAGTGCCATTCAGCACGGTATCAAAGCAACGGCGCACATGATGCGATGAAGAATTAATCGAATAAGCCACCGAACTGGCGTGGAGCGTTAGTCACTTGTGTGATTAAAGTTCCGCATCGGCGATGAAACAGGTCTCCAGCCATTCAAAGCTATTGTTGGCTTTGTACTGCGTACGTTTTTCGGCAGATCATCTTAAAACAGGAAATAAAGGATATAATTGGTGTCTTAGCTCGACTATAATCTCTCCGGGCAGGGCTACAAGTAAAGTTCAACTACCGCATGTCCTAGCAGGAAGGGGGGGGGTATTGTAGACTAGGTATCGTTACGAATATATCGATGACCGAACTCTGTGTGGCCGTATATAAAAGTCGATACCGATGTGGATCGACTACCCAGCAATCAAAGTCCGTGAACGTGTCTTAAAGGGCCGTAGTGAAGCTGAAGTTTAGTTGGTTGAGGAGGCGTTAAAGTCGCCAGCAGTGACTAGGAGAGAGATAGAACAGACAGCACTTCCAGTCCACTGATAGATTTCTCCATCAAAGGGTTCGTTAGCTAAACATAGGCCACTACGAGATCTAGTCGTTGACCACATATGGCAATGACGGTAGTCTCCACTTGGCACGACATGCGATTACCTATCCTATAATCGTAGAAATGTTTCGATAGACGGAAATATTTCCACTAGTTTATTGTCCTTCTTTGCAAAGCAGTGAACAGAATCAAAACTTGCTAAGCTAAAAGGGCTAGTTGCCCAAGTCTTGGTTAACATCTGAATGTCTACACCATCTAGGCCCTTCAGGGAGAGGAGTGTCAGAGTTTTAGCCTTCTTACCGTATACATACATTGGGTAGTCGAGAAAATACTGGCAGTTTTTTCGCCGAAACTGAAGCAAGCATTTTTTTTTATATTCTAAAACAACATGCGGCGGGTATCTAACTACTATATGTGTGACCGAGCATTGTCATGGTGAAACCTGGTACCCGTCCTGTCTACTAGCTCCGATCGGTTTCAGATGGGTTGTCGTCATCTTGTTAGTTGTAGACAGTAGAGGTCTAAATCGATGATTTTGCCAGATAGCGGCAGCTCATATTCTACAATTTATTTCCAATCCGAAATTTGTTGGAGGTTGAGGAGCTTTTCCCGGCTTGCCGATGGCCTTTTTCGCACATTATTGCCATATCTAATTTGCTGCTTCGTATCATTCGTGACCAACCGCTTTGAAAATGGTTGCATTTCTTTGCATATTTGTAAAGTTTCACAGATGGAAATACGGTCAGGTAACAATAACTAGCTTTTTTTTTGTCTCTAGCTTCCTTCAAATGGTACAGAACAGTCCAATGGTGGATGTTTAGTTACTTGGCGATATCATGGTTATTACATGTCAACCTTTTTACACTGTCGCATTAACTTGACCAGGTTTCTTCATAATAGACCACTACGAGGAGCATCTTTCACATCGAAATTTTTAGAACAAGAACCATCTTTGGATAACGTATCTTGACTATAATCAGCATATATTTTTTCATTGGTCTAAGTAACACTTAAGCCTTTATCACAATCAAAATAACTTTTGCGGAAAAATCATTTATGCTCAAAACGCTTTATTTTCAATCTCAATACAAGCATTTTCAGTAAATCTACTACTGTCAAAAACGTTAACTAAACAAAAAAAAAAAATATAGGCAACCTTTAAATGATACTAATGACAAGCTTACGAGACTCATGGTACCTACGATATGTATATATAGGTTTGTCTTTGCCAACACCAATATCTGCACTCTCAGTTACCCCTTTGCCTGGAACAGATGGCGCTACAGTTCGTTCAGTTAAATGGATGCACAGATGTTGTAACATGAGGCTAAGGGTCTATTGGCCTATCCTGACATCAATGCGTCCACCTCTATACCATACGTGTCTTTTTGCTATGGCTGCTTCTGCAGCTACTCACGCTACTGGTCCTATTCTGCGTTGGCAGCGTCAGCGTTATCTCTGTCAGATCTAGGGTCTGTTAATGTTTGCGTACCTTGCGGCATAACGCGCTGCACATGCGCCAAGAGTGAGTGCTGCATGAAACTGTCTTACTTACCTAATCGTTGACTGCCTGCCTGCGATAGTTTGCGATACTTATCGGCCTACTATTCTCACCCTATCAAAACGACTACTTCGCTCAAAGGCGAAAACAGTGAAAGTGGAAGAGAGAGTGACTGAAGCAACGATCGACGGCGAAAGAGTGCGTGCCAAAGTTAAATGAGAGCAAACTGTCAACTAACAGCGAAAATAACTAGATCGACTGACTTCCAGACGAGCAGTGAGTCGTAGCAGTATTTAGGCAGCAAGCAGTGCCCGCCTCATAAAGCGCAGGCATCATGCCAACGACATTCGGCAAGCAAATCAAATCGTCGCTTTCGTTTATTTTCGTTGTTGTTGTTGTTAAAGACTGGTCATTTCTGGCCGTCCACCTCGTTCGTTCCCTCGCTCGTGTGTCCATTTATCGGGGAGTCCACTTTACGTCAGCGTCACAGTTACGGTTTTAGTAAAACCACTGCTACTGTGATATCGATCGTGACAATCAACGAAAACCGCTGTATGTTAAATAAGTATCGCCTGCAGTAATGCAAGCAAAATCAGCGGTGAGAGACATCATCGCCTACCTATTTATACACTACTACTGCCGGAAAAAAGCGCTCGGCCATCATGGGTTGTTTCGTTCGCTTTTTAAAATGGCCCATTTACTACCGGACTAGTCGCGTGCGTTAAAAGCATCGACGTCAACTACTGCCCAGTGAACAATATGAGGTTGACACATTGATTTATTTATTTTTTATTATTACAGTTGTTCGTCACCAGCTGACCGTCTGGTGCACAGTCGGCTGGAGCATTCGTATCCCGTACGTAGTTAGGATGGCTGAGCTAGCGCTTGAACATTTTGATGCCGCATTGCTAATAGGTCAAGGCGTTCAGTGTACTAATACAAGTCGTACTGTATATATGTAGTTAAGCTGTGAAAACAGACCGACCAGTTCGCCTTGTTTGGGCTAGATTTCTTGCCGCCTCTTGACTATGAGATCGTCCAGCTAATAACAATACTCGAAGATCACGACCTACGAGTTAAGTAACCATGTCAACTTCGAATGACTTTAAGACCAGTTCATACCTACACGACATTTGAAAACGTTTCTTTTGTGCGGGCGTTTGCGTTTATTTACGTTTACTGAATGCATTCATAGTGATAATTCTATTTACAACAACAGAAAGAAAAGTGAACGCCATAGAAAACGTGTGTCGTATTTATCTAAAATTATGTTATGCTTACATGCTCGTATGGATTCTGGCATCTCTGAGATGTTGTTTCGGCTGAGATCGAGTTGTATCAGCAGGGTGAGTGCCGAAATCGCCGCTGGCAAATGCTGTACGTCGTTATCTTGAAACGTGAGGCGGCGCAACGCGTGGCAATAGAACAACTGTCTGGGCAGCTCTCCGATTTGATTAGCGTCTAAGCAGAGCTCCTGTAGTGTGCTCTCATAGCTGAATATCTGTAAAGATAGAGAAAAAAAAAACGCGAAACGTAAGCAAGTGTTTCCGGCCCACAAAGGCTTCTACAACAGTATTGAGAGAGGTTCGTGTTTGGTAAAAACCATCGAAGATTTCTTGGGTAGTAATCAATTTTAAACAGCGTTAAATACGTATAATCAGGTATCCTTATTAACTAGTCCGATTGCTTATCTAAACAAAAACCTCCTATAGAGCACAAATAATAATAGAGAACAACAACAACAACAACACACACACACAGAGTGCAGTATATGAAGTACTTGGAAGGTCTAAAAACACGATAGACAACTATCCTTCAAAAGGGCACCGAATATTCACAGCAAACGAATTTACCCTCAGCTCGCTGTTGAAATTTGAAAGTTACTTAATGCTTGATTGCGGCTTAATAATTGCGATGCCCACAAATGTGCAATCCTTGGCACCCCATAGTCCTATTGAAGATATCTACTGCACATAAAAATAGTAATATGAAGGTGCTTAAGTTGGCTGGCCTCGTCAATGAAAAATAATGGCTTATAGTATATGAAGATGTCAATTTTCTAAAAATCGTGCCCTAAGATGCTTGCACAATAGCTTTCAGCCCGTATCGTTAACTTTAAAATCATCCAATTGCTACATACAGTTTTTTTTTTTTATTACTATAAGCTTGTAGACCGTTCAGCTATAGCCCCAAAAGCACAGACCGTTTACTCTCTGCAGCCGACTCCAGAGCTAGAGTTTATGTTGTGGTGTCTTAAGCTATGCTTAACTGTCTAAAGTTCGAGCTATATAGAAAATGAGTTTTATAAATCGTACAATTGGAAAAAAAAACTTCATTTAATAGAAAATTGTGCAACATCTTATTATGCGAGAATGTTAGTTGTGAACGTTGATGGTTTTCAATCTGTTCGATCATGTCTATCTTCTTTCCCTGTAATTCATTACAGATGCGCTCCGTTTACCATTCACCTCGAACGTCATAGAAAAGGTAGCGGCAGTTTCATTGTTATTATTTAGCTTTACTTTTAGAGACTGAAAGTTAGCTATACCAACAAGCATTGCTATAATGAAATTCACTGGTAAAAACAGCAACAGGAGAGCACTTTTCATTTTGCCTGTAAAATGACCTTGCCTTAATTCGATCACTTGCGATGTTGCAGAGAGTTACTGCTGTATATCTTAAAACGATTGTCTTTTAAATCGGGCGAAATCAGCCGAAATCATAGTCAAACTTGAGTCACTTGAGCATTGCCTTAACACACAGCAGCAAAGTTTAGAAAAACCTTGTGGCTAACGTAAGTCAGCTTTCATACTATAGTCATCTATGAGGGTTTCATAGTAGTTCCTTGTCATTAAATACTATGTGGTTTACAGGCTTGAAATAGAAATATAATGCAATAGTTCTGTTAAATAAATTCTGTTAGATAAAACTTTAATCTTTTCGATATTCGTTTTGTACCAGCAACAAAAAGAAATATAAAGCTTGTTTTGATATTTATAAATATATAGAAGGCACACTTCGGCGTTTTGAAACATTATATTTTGCCACGCACGGCGTTTATTTAGAACTATAACCGTACGCAGGAATTCGCATCACTGGTTGGCGAGAATAACATGCCGGACCTACCAAAACCTATTTTATAACCATGTTAAATAACAGTTGGCAGAATTTTTCTTTTTCCTGGCAGCATTGCTTCTCTTAAAATACTATAAATAAACCTGAAAAGATTCCAACTATCTAAAAGTTCAGAGAAAAACATGTGGACTGACAGATATTGTTATTATTACTTTAGAACAACAGTTAGTTACTGTTACTGTTATTATTGCTATTACTCAGTTTTGCAAAATGAGTCCTCGGTGGACTAATGTTCACTTAGAATCACTGTTTCTCAGCCACTCCCACACGTTTCTCAAATCTAACATAACAGCTCATGTTATCAATAAATAAGCATATATTCTATGAATACAGTTTTCTGTTGATGTTCTGAAATTATAAAGGATCGTGCAAGAATGACTTGAATACGATGTATGTTGCTGCAGTGATACATATGCGTGCACTGATAATTTCAATAAGCCCTAGTTCGAATGAGCTTTCGTTGTTCGCTTTATAAAAACTGTATTTATTAATTAATTTATTATGTATTATTAACTCTAATTATAATTCATATATTCTTTATGAGCTAACATGACGCGTGCATTGCTATGAAATCAGCAAATATTTTAAAACCCGAATAGTCTGGCACTTGTGTTCGATGGCGCTAATATTACCGAGTCGAAACTAGCTTTATCGATAGTACTATAGCCAGAGAGTATTCGAAATTGTTCCGTTGTTTTTTAGACTATTGTTGAGAAGCAGTCGTGAGCGAGTTTTAGAATAACAACGGAACAACGTATCGTATTGCGGATGCGGAGCTTACATGAAATTTCTATACTCAGCATACGGCCTTGCCATTCTTAGTAATCTTTATTTGTAACTATTGACTTAAACAAGTTAGTACTTTGATCATACACCATCACAACAGGTTGTGCCTTTCGCTCAGGAATGCAAATTCCCCGCGGGCTGGAAACCAGTTACTCCGAGAATATTAGATTTTCGAAAGAAGGACAATCTACGATTTACCATCAAATAATGTCAAAAACTTATTATGCCTGCTTTTAGTTTGTTTTTTATTTTACTAAGGTCAATATTAACTAAAACATTTAGGGTCAAGGGTCTAGCCAAACCCTGGAATTATGATTAGCTCGGCTTAAACACCGTAAAGTACACATGATCCCAAAATGAACCGTATGTTAGAAGCCTGCTAGGTTTTTTAAATTTTGCGAAATCAGATCCTGGGCAGTAATATCGGCTGCTTCGTCCTCTGCGCCAACGAGCATTAATATATGAATTAATTACAAAGCAGATAGAGATTTCGCTTTTGAGGCCAACGCCCTCGATTTCTGTCAAAAACTTCCGTTCAGCATCTTCGGACCACAGTCCGCAACTATGCCACAAAAATCCTCTGATCGAAAAAATTTTTGGATCTGAAACTTGGCGGTCAAAAAATTGAATAGCAATACGCTTGTTCTGATTGTATGAAAATTTCCGCTTAATCTTTTATCAGCCCTTTTCCGCGACCGATACCCATTGAGTGCTCAAAAAAAATTTTAACAATTAATATTATTACTACAACGTGCAATTTATGAACCCCTTAACAAGCAGATATAATCTTCCACGACACATAATGCTAACATAAATAAATATTTTTATTTATTCTTACATACGGCTTTCGTGGCACCATGGATCGGGGCTTGTGTCATAAAAGCAACCTAGTTTGATTGCTTCTTACGTTCATATATTCGCCAAGCAAGCTCGCAGCAATGGAGCGTTCTATAAACACGCCTACATATAATGCCTGTATCTGCAAACTTGTTGAAAGCTGAAACTCGCTTGAAGTTACTTCTGCCAAATGATAATTCCCTATCTTATTCGGTAGTCGTTACAACAAATAATGAAATGTGTGTATAAACAATTCGGTCATTTTTTTTATTTATAAAAGGTTCGTCCTATGTTTTTACCTCTGTGCTAGTCGAATAGAAATGTGCAATTGCTGATTACTGTCGCCTATCATAAAATACTAATCTATATTATATCGAGGTCAGTTAAATTAGTCCAAGCTTACAGGCAGCTAAATATTGGAACGCGGGAGGTTAAGTTTCACACCAAATATTCGAAGTTGGGGTGATGTAATCATTTTATTGAGAAGAATACTTGTACATGATTTGTTGAGAAGATTGGGTTTTTAGGTTTTTCTTTGCTATAAATTTATTTAGAGCACCTACTTGTGTGCATCAAAGAAACTCAGGAAGGGTTATCATTCTGATGCTAAACTAATTAATGACAATCTGAACAAAATTGAGTGAGTATTCCTGATCGTGGCTACATGCACGGCGAAACTTCTGAACGCAAGACCAAGGGCCTTTGGTACAAATCGAGCGAAAAGACAGAGCCATCGGGTCGCAGTGTGGTGTTTTGTAAAGGTGAATACGTGATTTTGCAATGGTAGAAAACTACAACTAAATACAAGTTAGCAGCATCACATGTTAGGTTGAATTTAATGCTCATCAGTGTACCCAATACCTTTGTCCTCGGGATGTCGTCAGCTGAACTTGTAGAGTTCTTCATGCCGTTATACTTACTGTCCCGTTATGATGTTGCAGTTTACCGCATTCGTTATAAGAAAAGGGGTTCTAATGTAATATGGACAATTTTTTCAACATCGACAGTTCCCGGCGGACAAAAGCTAGTAGCAACTAATAATCTTCTTAACGTTGCTTCACGTTGCCATGTCGGCTAAAGAGCTTTGTATTCAGTTGTTCCCTGAATGACATCTCGAATGCTGTTTTTACTATGTATAAGGCCCATAATGTAAATTCGTAGCCACCTCGCTATGCGCGTTTTATCAATGTGAATATTGTTATTCGTGCACCCTTAAAGACGGCAATTTATTCAAATTAGCACGAACAGCCGAGATCCAATATTTTGTTAATTTTTGGGCTACGCAAAATAATAAAGACCTTAACTTCAGCAAGATAAAAAAAACGCTTGTTTGCCACAGCATCTACATAATAGGGTCTGTAGGACGAAAGCATTCACGAAATCGGTCAATTGTACTATTATTGCCTGCAGCTAGCTAACAAAGATTCAAGTTGTTTGGTATTTGACTTTACCTACTGTCTAATATGTGCATCCTTGTATCATATCTGTTAAGAAGTCTTGAAAATATGTGACGTCACATCTCCATTTTATGGAAATATTCATATTACTGCGTCTGCTTTTTATCTAGGAGTCAGTAGTTAATATGAACATGTATAATTACAGTACAATAATATATTTACTTATGTTTATAGAAGTTGTCATATGATACAGAATGGTATCACCAGTGGAAGGACAACACGTATCAACTCAGCCCCCCGCCAGCTCAAGTCTATCTTGGGGGAGCGTGCGTGATGATTTCTGATACAATCACAGTCACAATACACGTTTAAACTCGCAATAACAATACGAGCTAAAATAGAAATTTCTATGAATTTGTGGCGTATGAATCTATTAAAACTATCGGGTGAAAGCGTATGACTATGCTTGGCTCGTGTGAGGTTTCACCAGTGAAAATTGTATCGGAAGCACTGTTGACTTGGCACACCGTGACCGTCGTTGTACAGTGCATTGCGGTTTATACTAGTATTAGCCCACAACTCTTGTTAACAGGGATTCCGCTTTTTCCTATCTCGGTAAATGATATGAGAAAATATGTTTCGCACAATGGTCGTACAATCGCAAACAGTTCGAGTGCCTAGACATATCTATAAATATACGATATGTTAAGTTCTTCTGCTCTTGACGATAGAAATAATGGCAGATTTTGAGAAACAGTAAATGGATGGTAGTTGAATACGCTTAATATAGAAAGGTTGCAGGACGAGCAGTGTAATGAAAAAATACTTTGCCGAGAACAATTTTTTGTTCCTCTACGATTGAAACTGAATTATTCAAGCTAGATAATAAACGGTAACATCAGTCATTGAACTCGTTTTTTTTTGTTAATTTTGGTAGTTATGAAGGAGCGTCGATGGCAAACAAAAGGAAACTCACCATTTATGAAATGAAAATGGATATTTATTATAGATCCATAATTAAAATCAATCGTACCATTTGAGCATGTTGCACAACCTACTCAAGTGTGATCATTTTTTTTGTGTACGACTGAATATGCGGATAACCCATATGTCAAGTTTTTTTTTACTAATTTTTGTATAATACTTGACAAATCATAGATAATCTACTAGCAGCAACTAATTATCTACTACACCTATGTGCTAGTCCTTAGTAAAAAGAAGCTGCCAGCTAGTTGCTGTGATAAGAGGCTGTTGTCAGCTGTCATCGCCGTCGTCTGGCTCCTTTTGGCCCGACCAGCGTCGAAACGTCAACATTTCTTCTCTATCCTTTAGCCTTCCATGCCTATGTATATATATTCGCCTCCATCGTACTTGAACAGGCCTGAAATATGCATATCTATAATATTGTTTTTTCGGACTATAAAATTCAGCTATCTTCAGAGCCCAACCTCAAGGTAAAAAACGCTGATAGCTAGCTTATAGAAAATTTGATTCGCCGAATTGTAGGTAGCGTTCGTTGCCAGTAGCATCAAGCTATCTTGCAGAAATTTACAAAAAAAGACCCTCTTGTTCACTCTTGTGGCAATGGCACTATTTGCACAAGACGTCTCAGCTTCCCTTCTATCATTCAACATAGACGTAAACAAACTTAAAGGAGGAATAGGCTTAAAGTTAGCCTAAAGTGGCCTCTTGTCAATATAGAAGGAGCGTAAGGTTTGATCGCTGCTTTATTTTTTACGGTTGTTGTTCATACGTTTTCGTTTTTGGATTGAAACAAGCCTTCCACCGCTTTCTAACTCAGTAACTACTATCGCTATAACTGATTTTCAAAGCATACTCAGTTTTAACTATGAAGTGAACTACTGCCAACCATGTGCCCATTGTGTAAAGGTACAATATTAGTATAAACACATACCTCATTCGGCACCTCGTCCAAGGTACAATGCGAATAATCGAGGCATTGTACATCCTCGCTTTCGCCCTTGAAGCAGGGACATCGTCCAAACACCATGTTTTTATTGTTGTTATAGTGTTTGTCGGTCGGGACTCCCGGGATCCCTTGGCGACAAAATTTCCTTTTTCTCCACCTCCACCGCGTCGTCTTATACTTTGTGTACAATCGTCTTCGACGCTGAATCGTAGTTGTCCTCCCTGACGTTGTTGTGGCTGTTATTTTTGTTGTTGTTGCCACTGCTGGTGCACACGCCCAAGAAGAGCCGTGGGCAAACACGAACTGTTACTGCTGCTGTTATTGCCACCGCTTTTGCCGGTCGGAAAACTGCGGACCTGAACTCGCCTTGACCCTCCAGCGTTCCGCTGTCCGCCGGCGTCAGCGTCGCCTCAGCTCGTCGCCGAAATGCTCACCGTTGAGCGTGTCGTCGATGTCAATACCGCCGTCATTCTGGCTGACACTGCCGCCGCCGCTGGTGTCGCTGGTGTTGTTCAATTTGTCCGGTGCAAACGCTACCGCAAGTTTAGCGTTTTGGGTCTTCGAGAAATCGTTGCTTGTCTCTCGCGTCGTCTGTCCTCCTCGCGTTTGACGCGCTCAGGTAAATAAGAGATGGGCGAATATCAACAGGTAAGCGCAGTCAATATAGAATCGTGAGTAACGCTTCACAAGTCAAAATGACAGAAAGAGGCTAACTTGCCATTAGATTTGGTCTGGATAAACTGTGCGGCAGATCTGAAGGATCCATGTTTAAAGACCTGGCACTAGAAAGACAAACAGGATAGATTTCTTGAAACTGCTTCTTAACTACCGCTTTTGCCAGCCACCTTTTTTTGGTATTACGGTATTGATAAGAACGGAATGCAACCAGCATTTCCAGTTCGAATTAATTGATTTTTCTGCTCTCTTGTTGCTAGAACTACGTTTTTATTGTTGCTGTTGTTTGATTTGGATCGTTGATATCTTCTTCGTTGACAACTGTGAAGCGTCTTTATCCGTTACTGCTCATGAGCGCCTTGTTGCACTCAGTGTCGCTCGATGTCGGCTGGCCTTGCAGATCGCTTCGCCCTTGACCTACAAAAGCAGCACCAGTTTGATGTCGGAGGCGCTTGCACTTGGGTCTCTACCATGAGTTGCGGTTCGGTGTGGCAGATGCCAACTTCACTCGTTGTAACTCTCGAAGCTCTATTAACTGCTGTAGTTGTTGGGGTGACGGAAACAGTCGTCAAACCTCCAATCGCGTACTCAGCGCACGTCAATGCGCTCGCCAGTTGGGAATCCTGAACAATCACAAGTTCTTTTCCAAATCACAAGCTTAAGAATCACTAACGAACTGATACAGCCCGCCGACTTAGACTGAGGGATAAAAAGTGACAATGATTAGACGGATTCTGTTGCACACTCTGCTGCCAGATCAAATCATTGTGTCTCAGACCACTTAAGACTATGAGCCACTAAAATAAAAGGAGACACTCACTTAGAAACTAATATAGTAAAACACAGCTGAGTAAGACACCACCGGACGCTAAACAGGTGATATTTTAAGCTGTTCCTATTGTTTGCGTGGCCGCTCGATCTGTCATTAGACGTTGCCATCAATGCACATACGTTGAATTGTAGCGAATGCAGTACAGATCGCTATCACCTGCCAATGATTTTTCCAGTAGACGTCAGCTTTGCCAACGATATTCGACATTCTCAGTATTCCTCTGGCAATTCCGCCATTTTGGCGTCACTTGTTAACTGTTCATTGGCGAACTCTATCCGACTACTCTCCGATCGACCGACCAGTCGTGTTGTTGTGATTTGCTATCAGTGTTTTCTTGCTCTACTGTGAAGGCTAGAACACGCAGTCAGCTAAGCATAAATGCACTTGCATAGAAGACACAACACATGATATCAGGCTGACGGGGGTCGCGCGAAGCGTGAAACTTAAATTGCTGTGCACCGGACGAAAAATCACACCAGAAATCACTGAAAAGATTAAACCGACGAGTCGATGTCTGTACACCGCACCAAGCACGATTTATTCACAAGTTAAGTTAGCCGACAATTATTGCCGACTGTCTGACAACGGTCTAATTGTGACCGGAATGGAGACAGCAGCAGCGAAAGCTGCCGTTTTAACCCGTTGCCGTTGCCACCCACGAGGATGACAATAATGTATAAAACTGATAGAAATGGCGTGCAGCGAGTTTAGAGGACACTTATGAATCGCTCCTGCAGAAAAGGACGTACCAGAAGAGAATAGGTCAGCGCTGCTGGGGGGCTGTGCCTGTCGGTTACCCCCTTGGACAGGACGGTATCCGTCAAATCCAAATCGTGTGTGCAAAATACGTCGCCTGCAGTCTACACATGGAAAAGCACTGAAATCCTTTCCACCAGGAACAGAGTACAGAAACCTCACGTTCGGTACTTTACTCTTACCACCGCTACTACGGCGAAAATTAGTAGTAGTGCCAGCTCAACAACTACATAGTAAAACCCACTCTGAGCTGATCGCGCTCTCTCACACGCAGATGACTGTACTTAGCAGTAATGTGAACTAAACACAAGCGATCAAACTGATTTAAGTGAGGAGGTTATTACGTTATCGTGTACCATTTTAGAACGACAGCCGTATTAGTTATAGTAAGTAGATGTTCCTAGTCCACAACTGCTTGCTTAGAGGTATTGATACACCAGGCCATGCAGCGCCGCACCGCCAAAAACGAAAGAGCAGGAACACGATGCCTTGTCTAAAGGTAAGCAGCCTGGCAGAAAGGTCAGCAGGCCAACCCGCTAATAGGGCCTGCCGCTTCTAACAAGCCGCTTATCAGTGCTTCCTGCTGGGTAGCCTTCTTACAATTGGTAGGAGTAATATTGGTAGTGAGTTGGGTATCGTTGGTCTGCGACAGACATTCGCGGCCGACCGCCCGAAGCAGGCCAAACCGTATCAGCAGCGTAAAGGCGGGCAGCCGAACATTCGGACAGGCTCACAGAGCGAGTGTAGCGGCAGCTTCCACTACCACCACATACCATAACCATTAAGCAGGTTCTTGTTCGTACTAGAGAGCAGGCAAAGCAGGCCGTCAGGTAGTAAGTATTTGAGCAGAGGTTCGCGAGTGAGGACCACGATAGTAGCGCCATGCAGCGGTGCCTCCCGCAATCTGTTCTCCTCGCTCGGTTTGCAGCTGCCCACGTCCCTGTCCTCTTCGCTTCGCTGTTATCCCTTTCTACCACAAGCACTTCTCCACTACTCAGGAAGCGCAGCCGACTACGCGGCTTCGCACAATTTTATTTTGTATGCTGTGGTAGAGAGTAACAGAAGAAGGGGCTGACAGACAGAGACGGAAAGATAAACCCACATAGGTTTACTCTAGATAAACGGCAGGGGGTGATGAATTTTGTCGTCACTGCCAGAAACCAATGCCGACAGAAACGAGCACACGGCCAAAGGCGGACTTGAACGAGCACGAAATTACTTAAGAGATGCTTAGAACTGATGAACAAAAGAATCAGAGAACTGTACTTAAGGAAGGAAACCGTTAGTGCACCTTGCGTCGAGGCTGGGCACCGTGAAAACTATGAAAAGAGAACGTGCGCCATAACAAACCCGCAACATTCACGAACAAAACAGCAAACGCGTTAAATGAAGATCGTTCATATTTGTAGTTACAAGAGACTCAGAATTGGTAAAGACAACAGTCGACAACAAGGATCATAATGAATTGCGTAACTTATATAGTACACGAAATTGGAGGCTAACTCGTCAACATGGCGGTGAACGAGTGTAACTGGACCGAGTCACAATAAAGTTTATCCGCGCATAGCCATCATAGGTACTGCTGTTGAAATTCTTGCGCTCAAATGCCTTTTCTGTATTTATTTCCTATCGAAGTGTCTCGAGGTGGCAACAACTTGAACAAACACTTGTAGAAAGGTATAAGACAAGCGGTTACAGCAGCCAGCTGCTTACCAGCTCGAATGTACAATCATCAACCACTTACGCCACCGTAGCCATCGAGTTCTACATCCGAAATGCGGACACAACGTCTATACGCAGCTATTATATTGACGCTGTTCAATGATGAAGGATCAGTTGGTTTACACACATTGATTTCACACCGCTTGACAAGTCGGTGATAAGTCAACAAAAAATCACATATAACTTAATGAAGGACTTCTTTATGGACGTTAAGAATAGATCTCTAGTAGTCGACTGCGCATATTGTGCATTGTTGATTGCATAAAAGAAATCTAATCTATTTAGGGAAAATTTGCCGGGAAGCATGGAAAAACTGCTGTAGATAAAAAAAAAGTGAGAGTAGGAAAATGAGTCTCGATTAACTAATCCAATAGCTGTGTTGAAACGGCTGAAGGCCTGAACAGACCTAATAGGGCAACGGTCTCAGCAAGGACAGTGTGCTGTCTACCGGTGGCGACTGTACGTAATTTATGCCAGCTTGGGCTTCGTAGGCTTTGGGGTCATCGTATTGCCTCGCTGACTGACTCGCTTATAACCACCGAAGGCTATCTTATCTTAAGCAAATCATTATTCGTTATCAGTTCGCTTTTCATTGCTTTAGTACCATGCAAGACACTATATCCAACGGAGTTTAACCGCTCTCATGTGTTTCTAAACGTAAGCAAGATCAGAGTCAATAAATAAACTTGCCTTCAATCAATCGAAACCTATACACCTTGACAAATACAACCTGAATACATAATTAAGTTGAGTCTGTTTAGCCAATCGAACAGTTATAATATAGCTTATTGTATGTGACAGGAGATGAGCTCTGCGTTTGTTATACATTCAAGTCAATATGTAAGTGTCAACTAACAACGCCCAAAAATCGTACGTAATATTGTGTGAGAACTGCTATTAGTTCCTAGGCCAATTACTGCACGATTATACACGCGTTGTGGTCTTGGTTGGAAATCGCATGTAGAAAGATTTCATTCCGTGTTGAGAGTCAGCCGTCTGATAGAATGCCTAACGATGATACCGAACGTAAAACTAAAAACATAGAGGCCAACTACTGTTGTAGCCAACTGTATGCTTTTTAAGATGCGCTTTATGTTTACGTATCGTACCGTGTCTATTTTAAACCAAACTAAACTAAACACATACGTTCGTTTTTCTTCTCTCTATTATAGAAAGCGCTCCGCCTCTGCGCTTGCATACATCATCGAGACGTCCCTGGATCAGTTTAGCTCTGAGAAACCGTTACGGGGTTGTGTCGCAGCGACTGCTGGTACCGCCGACGCTGAAGAGCAGACATTTGCATTAGCCACGTCGGTTTCATCGAGTCATCAAAAATCACTCGAATGTGTACACAATTGTGATGTCTACTTCGAGGTAACGACCAAGAGTACCGCGAAGACTTCCTTCAGACGGGAGCTAGTTCTCATCAGCTCAACTTTCGCTTGCACGGATGCACTGAAGACGGTCGTATCTTATGCAATGAAACATTATAACTACGAACGCTATCCACTAGACGCATCGCTTGTGGTACTCGTTATTGAGATGGTCAAAGCCGTTATCGCTCTTGGCCTTCATTTGGCTAAAGGAGGCGGTAAGCTTTTAACGAAATTCGATTCACATATCCTGGTACCTTGCGCCATTTACGTTATTACTAATAACCTGTTCTTTATTGCGTTGTTCTTCGTTTCGCCCGCCGTTTGGATGGTACTCATACAGATTCGGCTGCCTTTTTTGCTGTTGATCTATCGGTTGATGTTCAAGCGTACAACTGTCCCTGCTCAATGGGTAGGAGCAGTGTTTAGCGTCGTATTTATGCAGGTACCTAAGCAAACATCATACTTAAAGGTAATCTTAGATGGACTCTATGAACTGATTGATTGCGCTACTCTTGCAATCTAAACTTCATCAATATAGGTTTGAAATGCAAGACACGCTTGCTTAGTTTTAATAAAATGCATAACTTCAGCGTAACTTATATATGTATAGCACTGTACGTAATTCAAACACTTGCTCTACCAAAAATTTTCTCAGAATCAATAAACTGGTTTCCATTTTTGTTGCAGGTATGGGTCATTATATTTCACTTATGTTTATATAATTCTCTCCGTTGAGCTTCTATCGAATACAAAACTAGTTGTTAGCTCTACATTATGCAGAAATGCGCGCTTATGCTTTAAGTGCTCTAAATTTGAGTAAATTATGTACCCACATTAAGTAAAATATACGCGCTTGTTATCTTCATAATAACTTCAACTATTTTTCCCTGGTAACTCAACTTCGCTTTACTTGTATTATTGTAGATCGAGCACGTGCACAATTTCATGAATTCAGTGGGCCCCGCACTTATGCTAGCGGCATTTTCATCGCTGCTTTCTGCTGTGGCTGGTGTTTATATCGAAATGGTTCTCAAAAGTGGAGATGAACTATGGCGTCGACAGTTCCATTTGTACATCGGGGCATATATATATATATATATATATATATAACATTATGTATATATAGTACGGACTCCTCGTTGAAACAAACCTTAGCGCATCCTTGGTAGTAGATAAAAGCCTGTTTTTTCTGGAACCAAATAACAAACTCACTATGGTGGAAACTAATGTGTGGTTTCCATAATAGAGTCGTATAATAACTTAGTCGCAAGATTAAAACATTTTGTTAAAATATCGATTTGTATGTAGATACGATCTTAGAACCAAGGCATATGAAAAAGTCCAAATTTAGGGGTCGAACGCTTGTGATGTTTTTGGTGCTTTTTTCAACTTTCGCGATTGACGCATTCCTCGAGAGGCTACGCTGTGTAATCCAAATATTCCATAGAAAACTACATCTACTGGAAACAGCACAACATCTCTTACCTAACTTGCATTAATAATACAAAGCAAAATAAGCAGAAAGGCTTAAACCCGAGCAACCATATGTTTTAGTTTCTATTATTTCCAAGACAATGTAAATCAACCTATTTTTACATTTGCTATCACTTTCGTGTGCCTCCTTTGCAGCTATCGATGTGATAGCTAATCATATGTTACTAACTGGGCTCATCTTGCTTTCGGTGGCGCTCTCCGCGGTGCATGGAATTGCTACATCGTTGGTTATTAAGAAGCTCGACAACATCGTTCGCTTTCAGCTCGGAGCACTTATCTATGTGTTTACAGCAGTGCTCAATAAGACTTTCTTCCCTGACAAATTCAGTCTTAGTGGCTGGTATATTCTTAGTGTCGTGCTCGCTCTTTATTCAATGTTCATCATAGAACGGAAAAGTTTTCTGTAGTTAGTTCATTGAATTGAATGAATCCTAGTCAAATAAGCTTTCTACTCCCCCTAGTCGTTCATATATGAAATTTCGCTGTCTACTGACTGGGGTCTGTATGCACGTATTGTGTCTGTACGTCTAGGATGCACATGCATATGGTACTCTTAATATACCTTTAACGGGTAAACGGGTTGTAACTAGTTTATAGGCTACACATGTGTTACATGTGAATCAAAGTGGGACCCGTCTGTGCCTACAGCCGAATTGTATAGAAACTTAAGAAATTAGTAGATGCAAACAAAGCTTAAGATTAAACTAGCCTTTAAAATACATTACATAGATAATAGTTATTATCGCTGGTCACCACATCTTTGCCAACTTCTAGTTGATTCAAATTTCAACTTATGCTGCAAGCGTATGGTTTGCATATTGTCCAGTGGCGCAAACGAGTGCTAAATACTGCAGGGTCATAGTTTCTGACAGTGAAGAAAATGTGACTGGCCTTTTAAGTTTCCAATACTTCGCATTTACCACGCTGATCACAGTGTCGCACATTTTGATTGCAACTTATTTATATATTATAAACTCGCCTTATCAGATTTTAGAAACATTAAGTTCTGTACGCCTTTAAAATTTCTCAAATCGAGTGTGACGCTGTTACAAAATTAGAAAGAAAATGCTGAATATAGCAACATTCTTCATAGAAAATATGGTATTGATCGTAAGTATTGACCTGTTCGGTGCATCAAAATATGGACGAGTTGGCGACTTTGAAAGCGGTTATTTTCAAACAGCTATGATGGTTCGAGATTGATAACAGTCTAGGAAGATCAACAAAAGAATCCGATTCCACATGAGCGTGAGCCAGCTCTATTTAAAGACGCCTCAAGTAAGACAGAGTCGCCCATTCAGGTTATGGATTTTTTGTCATTAATAGCAAGAAAATGTAATCAGCAGTTATGAATGCTAAAAAAGGTAGTTTTTTGCAACAAGATTAGAAAGTCAGTTGCTATTTCTGAATCGTTTGACCCCCAAACAAGGTGCTACATGAATCTTCCCACAGAAGAAAATGGAAAAAAAATATTGCATTTGATATCGCTGTTTATGTTTGTAATTATTTTTTGATAAAATATCATATTTCGCTGAAAAAAAATTCCACCCAAAAAGTGTAAAGCTTTAGTGGCGGAAGTTATACATATACAGGGACATCTGTGTTGTATATGCACAACCTTTGGACGTACTGGAACATTGTAAGATTAACATGTGCGGAGAAATAGCAACGATGACTTTAAATCACATATATATTCCACCAGGGTTAATATAACTACAATAAAGAATGTTCTTATATGGATTGTTTTTATAATAAGAAATAAAAAATATACTATCTTTGATAGTAAAAAGTTACCTATTTTTAATGTTGTCGCGATCTACAGGGCATTACAATGCAAATACTTGCAAATGGCATCAAAGGTTTATAAAAAAGAGGTTTGGAATACCCGATTATATGCTTTTTGCTTTCTTTTATTTGAGCCATAGAGCCCGAATTGTCGTTTTTGTACATGTTGCTCATTTTGCTCGTTATATACCTTTAGGAATTAAAGTATCCACAACAATTCAAAACCACGTCTTTTGTGGCCTCTCGTAAATTGTATAGCTTTCATAGGGATTGATTCGCCTACAAAACTTGCGAGAACGCTACGTGATCCTTTCGCGACAGCATATATAGAAATATCGTTTCATAATTAGCTTCGTTAGATATTATAACATTGAAAATAGTCACGTCACTGAGGCACTTTGTCAATACTAAGACATATCTAATCTGCTACATAATAATCACAGTTGGCTGTGTAATAATATATAGAAGGGACACTAGTAATTTTATTCATCACACGGGATGATACTGCTATAATCAGAAATCAAAGAGTTCGCATCGAACATCTGCTCTGATGGTGAACAACATCAATGTACACACATTTAATCCACTCTAGTTAAGTCATCGGCTGATGACACTTGCAAATCAGTAATCGGCGCGTAGTTTCGTTCCGCTACCAATCGTCGTCATCAGAATCGAATGCACCTTTTCTTCGTTTAAAGATCACCTTTGTGGTTCTCTGGGTTTGTTCGGAAACCTTCTCAAGGAGACCGATAAGCTCCTACAAAATAAACACATCACATAATGGCTAGATGTATATGAATTAATGGTGCAATCTGATTTTAAGTTAACTGGGCCATTACAATTAGCGGGCTCAGTAAAAGACTTTAAAAGCACCCTAGTATAAATATTATTTTTATAGTTTAGTATGAAATGAAACCAGAGAAGTTAAAACAACAATTGCGGATACTTGTTAAACCTGTTCGGAGATCTTCCGTCCAGTGCCGTTCATCTGTGCCGTTCGAATAACCATTTGTTCGATCATTGCAGCCTTCTCTGGTTTTGCGGCGGCTATCGTGCTCAAGCGAGCGCGGGCTTGTTGTGATAGTACCTGCAATTTGAAAAAAATTAATATTTTTTGTTATATCTGGAAACCCAGGGCATATCGGCAAGCCCCACAATCAATTAACAATTGTTACGGATATACAGTTCCTCTTCATCATCGAATCTCTACAGGTACGAGCATCATACTGCAATCCCATATCAAAACACCCGTATGAAAAGCTCAAGAACCATTAGTCCTAAACGTGGAAATATAACAAATATGGCAGATAACGAACGACATACCTTATCACGTCCGTTTACCAGAAAAGGGGGAATGAATTGTATTACTAAATACGCCTACCTGCATATAAGGGTGATGAAACACTTCAGTTGTAACATCGTATCGCTGAAAAATACGCACTACAGCTTCATACTCTGTTACTAGAAAAAAAAATGATTATCAATTCTATACGTGAATAATAAACAAAGGTAGCAGAAAAAGCGGCCAGTTCAAAACGAATTACTGTGATTGTTCAACTTCCTTATTATTTTTGCATCTAGCAGTTTAACGAAAATTTGACTCATCAAAACTGTATAATGTCTTGTCGTACTCTTAAATGTATACTGCTTATGGCCAAGATACGTTATGGGAAGAAATCGCTCAAAGATGTCTTTATCGCTTTCGTTTTGGAAATTTCGATGTGAAAGATAATTCTCGTAGCGATTGCCAAACAGTTTTAACCTATTTAGGGCTAGCCGGCCACAAAAGAAAGCTTGATATTTGGGTGTCACTCAAATTCACACAAAAGAGTTAATTCGATCATATTTCCATTTGGGAAACTGTGCAAAAACACAGCGAAATCGAGTCATTTTTAAGGCGCCTGATCATGGGTGATAGAAAATCGACCACATACGACAATGTGAAAATAAAAAATGTCCTTCGCAATCTGTGGCAAGGTCCAGACTGATGCCAAAAAAGGAGATGCCATGCGTTTGATGGTAAAAATGAAGAGAACTTCGTTCGGAAGTTTCTATGCATCTGCCGCAGGGTCCGTATCTCAAACCATTAAATTATCATCTGTTCTCTGTAGCACTCCCTTAATAGCACTAATTTAGTTTCAATCAAGTTGTGCGGAAATCACTTAACACAGTTTCACAAAAGTTTTACAGTAATGAGATTATAATCTTACCAAAAGAACGGCAGAATGTTATCGATCAAAATAGCGCTTATTTTATTTCCGTAACTTCATATGAAGACAAAGAAAAAATATTTGTTTCGATTGTGACTTATAAACGGTCAATATTTTTGGCAGCCCAATATTACACTATACGACTACTATAAATATCTATGGAATAGCAAGATACTCTACGGATAGCCAGTATTTCACGCGATATATGGGAAACTGTTCACTCCGAAACGTGTATATATATATATA